TAAGTTCGGCAGAAGCCTGTTAATCACCCTTTCATTCAAATCAGTTGCGTTGGAGCAGAAGAAGTAAAACGTGCAGGGTGGTGTTCCTCAGGGATCATGGTTGGGAACCGCTGCAGTAGAGGACCACAGTGCTGAGTCACTTCACCTGCTGTCTGTTTCTTCAGCCTCTCAGACGTGACTTCACTGCCTGATGCAATAAGGAGCTGATCTGCTGAGTTTTTTTAAATGTTTGTAAACGCAGTCAGTGCATCTCTGAGTTATTAGTCCGAATAGGAAGCACAGGAGCACGTGCACAGGTGTAATAACCGCTCAGGGATGCTGGGAGGAGGAGGAAGCACCGGGGGCGGCTCCCCCTGAAGGATGCAGCAGTTTTGTTCAGTTTGTGCCCAGCTTCAGCTCACCTCCTCCGCGTGCTTCCTCAGCGCCTTTTCCCGCTCGTACTGCGTGATGAGCTGCTCGTTGTCCTCCTTCAGCAGCTCCAGCTCCACCTCGTGCTCCTGGTTCTCCGTGAGCACCGCGTCCAGGTTCTCCAGGACGTTCACCACCAGCGGCATCAGCTCCTTCACCACCTCCTCGTCGTAGCTGTGGATGAGCCGCTCGAACTCCCGGTAGATCCCGTTGGCCAGGCCCGACACGCGCTCCGACATCACGGTGCCGGAGCCGTAGTCGTCCTGGTAGACCACCTCGTCTATCTCCATCATCGTGGCGGCCGGATCCGGGGAGGGTCCTGCTCGTGCCCGATCACCTTGTTTTCCAGGGCCTGGTGTGGGCGAGAGCGTCGCGGTGTTCGAACCGGATCAGCACCAGGCGCGAATCACACGAGTTAGCGTCTTTTACGCAGATGCGCCAGAAACAGCGCGCCGCTGTGTGCGCATAACCTTCAGCTCCAGACGGGCTCCGGGCTTCTGTTTCAGATTACAGAGGGGCCCAGTGGATCCACCACCGCTAATAACACCAGGCTGACTTCACCCCCCCACAGAAGCGGCCCTTATCGCTCCTCCGGTACCGGCGGATGTGTTCTGACCCAGCCTGCGGTTCGGCCGTCCATGCCGAGGGAGCTACACGCCTCGGTCGATGGTGATGTTGCACCTGCTGCCTTCAGCAGCCGCAGCCATGGAGCCCTGCCATTACTGGCAGAGGAGATAAATCAATAAACAAACAAACAGGTAAATAAATAATCCCGGCTTTCGATCCACCTCCTAAAACACCGGCTCCTCCATGTTTTAGTCCTCCTCTTCCGCGGGGTCGCCTGGGTGAACTCGGGCGGTGAGGGTGATGTCTCCCTTTGGGAGAGGCTCTCTCTCCCTGCTGTTCAGGATGGAGGAGCCAGCTGACCGAGGCTGGATGACGTCACGCCGTCTGCGATGACTCACTGCGTCAAGTCAGACGCACGGAAACAGGAAAACACCTGGGGGATTTCACAATAAAAGCTGCACCAATGGACCTGTTACAATTTCGGAATGGACCTTATTCTCACAAAACATATTCTCACATTCATAGAAATAAACAAAAGTATGGAACAACGTTTAATAAGTCAAGGGTTAACTATCAGGACATAATCAACTGATTTGGTCTTCAGGTTCTAAAATGATTTAACTCAAATCTCAGCTTCCACCATTTTGTTATATACAGTAATAATGATTAATTAAAGATGACAAAGAAACACCAAGTCCACTCTGATCTGACAGTTTTCTCAAAGAAGGCAGAGTCTTCTTTTCCTAACTCAGTAGTTGTTTTCTGTGGGACTGAATGTGGAGGAATAGTCACATTCTTCTTTTTATTGCTTCAGTTCATTGAGGGTTGACAAATATTTGTTTCTGTTAAGGTTATCTGAGTAAGATAGAGGTCTGGACTTTGTCTATACTGTTACAATTTTATTTTTTCAGTTCTGTTGTAGATTTGCTGCTGTTTGGGACCACTGTCCCACGTTGATTTAAGCTGCAGGACTGATATTTTCATATTTGACTTTAGAAGCTTTTGGTCTACAGAGGAGTTCATGGTTGACTCGGTGTCTGCAAGGTGCCCAAATAAAGCCCAAATCATTACCCCTCCACCGCCATGCTTCATAGTTGTTACAGGTGTTTAGCATGGTGGGAACATCTTGGCTTTAGTGTCAGTGCAGAGAACATATACTGTATGCATCCAGACATGAACTTTAACCTTTAATTTGTTGACTGAATCCTGCAGAGTCTGAGGACAAAACTTTTGTGCGCGTGTGTCATTTCTCTGATCATTGCATGGTCTGACCTTGGGGTGAATTTTCTGGGATAATGATTTTTTTTTTCTTCTTTTTTGACATTGTGTTATAACACATCTGCCAGCTTAGAGTTTAATCTTTTTTTGAACCCAAAGATTGTGCTTATAATGAATCCTGATACCCTATGATACCCTAGAACAGGGCTTCAACCGGGGGCCACTTCCGGCAATTAAATCCAGCCCACTGATGAATTCAATAGTAAAATAAAAATGAATGAATGAATAAATAAATGAATAAATAGAAAACATCTGTGAGATAGACCTTTAAACAATTTGAAACAGCAAATATTTCGGTCAGAGAAGGAATCATATACAAAGTATGTGCCCATATCAATTTTCAACATTTCCATGAGCATACACATTTTAAAGAGCCCCCTCCCCACTGAAAACATTGATTTCCACAGCACACCACCAAGCCTCACCCTGATAAGTTATTTGTCAGTGTTTTAATGTTAATAAAGTTAAATTACAAGCATTAAATTTGCAGAAACACGAGTTGAAATACTGCGAGCTCTCTCTCTGTGCGAAGAGTTCTGATAAACTGATAAGTGTGTGATCACCCGCAAGGCGGATTACACAACCAAGATTTATTACTGAGGGATTATTGATGATGATGCACAACAATTTAGTTAACCACAAATAGAATGGATTACATGAATTAATTCATTTTAGTATTATTTTATTGAACCTTTATTCACACAGGTAGTTTCATTGAGTCACGAGGACTCGTTTTCAAGAGATCTGTTGGGAGCAGGTGATGGGGGTTAAGGGCCTTGCTCAAGGGCCCAGAGTGGGACAGAGGAGGATGGAGACAGGTGTGTGTGGGTGTTTCGTCTTTTCCACACATTTTGATTTGTTGGTCCAGGGAGCTGAACTGACAACCTTCCAAAAATAGGCCTCCCTTCTCTAACCTCTGCCCCACCACTCCCAAATGCTGCAAATGTACATAAATGATACGAAGAAGACGTTCGACATGCATAACACTTATTACTTTCAGCCCAGATACAAATATTGTTTTTGGTGTGTTAAAACATTCTCAGAAATCTTTACCACCGTCATCTTTACATTTGTTGCTTCGATTCATTTAGTTGTTGACGGTGGAATCTTGTCCTCAGGCGCCAAAACTTAACCAGGTCTCATGAATAATTAGTATTAACTTTTTTTTTAAAGCAAAGCAAAAGTAAATGTTTTCCAAATGCATATAAAGCAACAATTTCTATACAATTATATATATATATGTATATATATATATATATATACATATATATATATATATATACATATATATATATATATATATATATAATAAAAAACACGTGCCCAGATGTATGATTTTTGACATCTTATTCACTCCATTTTGCGGGTCAGGACACTTCCGTTTTATTTTGAAAGAATTAAACCGGAAGTAATGTGCTTCCCATGGAAATCAACTTCATCCAGACCCTTGAAATAATTACTGCCAAAAATTCTTTCTAATAAATACAATACACACCCTTTAAATAATGAATGAATACTCCACAGTGCAGACAGGCAGCTGCACTTGCTGTTACAAGACTTTTTTTATTTTATTGTATTTATTTATATAAAAAATAAAAGCTTTGGAAACAATCTAAAAAAGTTAAGTCTGGTCCTCTGGATATGTAAAAAACAAAACAAACAAACAAAAAAGTAGAAACGTTTCGTCTTTCATCCGAAAGACTTCATCAGTCTGAAGTGCTGGATTCAGCACAGTCTTATAAATAGCACCTGAGACTGAAGAAGTCTTTCGGATGAAAGATGAAACGTTTCTACATTTGTTTTTTTTTGTTTTTTTGAATGTCCAGAGGACCAGACTTAACTTTTTTATATTTTTCTACCTGGATTATTGAGCATGCATCAGGATATTTTGAAACAACTTTCCCAAAGGATCTGTCTGGTCAGGGCGTTCAGGAGACAAAATAAACTATTTTATTATTAATATTTATAAAATAATAAATTATTTTATTGTACTTGTGTAAATGTCATCTAAATAAAGTATACATAAAACATACTGACTAGTTTGTCCAGTTGATGACTTTTACATTTCCAACATTCAAACGTTTGGATCAACATTTACAATGCAAGTGAACTGACCTAATATTTGCTCCACTGATCAGCCAGAACATTATGACCACCGACAGGGAAAGTAAGGAATGATGCTCATAACTACCAGGGACCTACAAGCATAAAAAAATGGGCATGATTGTTTGTTTAAAAAAATGTACCACTTAGAATGATTCAACGACTTCAAGCTTTTGTGGGAATGTAGTTTTTTTTAAGAGTAGCAGTTCAAACTTTATTCAAGTCAAACTCGCGTAGCTTGGGTGGCTGCTTGCAAAGGAGAGCATCAACAATGGAGACAAAAACTGGCTAATGAAGCAGAAAAACTGCCTCAGTGAGGCGTGCTCAGCTCCCACGATGAAGGCATCCAATCTTCCTCCAAACATTTTACCAGATAAATTGACCAACGTACTGTACAAAAGTCCATCTATAACAGTCGATAGTTCAGGTGAAATAATATGAGACCTCAGATCTGTGCCCTTTTCAGGTTACATCATTAAACACACATGTTGAGGATGTACAAATGTGCAATACTATTACTATAAATATTTCTGTGTTATATAATCTTTAATTACTTAGTAGTGACAGAAATCCCATTTTTACATTTCACATCATTCAGCTGTTTGTTTGTTTTTTTTGCAGGAGCTTACAGAAGAACGTCTGAAGATGAGCTTGGAGCGTTTCAGAGGGTCTGATGATGTTGCACAGATGGCAGCGTTGGTGAACTGAAACTTCTTATAAATAAAACCATCACTGTATGTAACTCAATATGTTCTGATCTAAGTGTAGAGTTTACAAAAACTTTCACAATCTGCACTGAAACTTGCGCAACTGAAATGTCAGTTTTCAGCTGTTCCCCATCACATATTAGTTTTTTGTTTTTTTTAAACCCAACTACCGTAATCAAAAATACAAAGAGATAAAAAAAGACAAAAATACAAACTGATAAAAGATTTATTCAACGTCCAGAGTTTCATATTAACAAAATTCACCAAAACTTACACAGAAATTACTTCTCAGTTTTTGTCATATTCATGTAAACATCCATTCAACCTTTATTTAGACCGGTAAATCCCATTGAGCCTCGAGGACTCATTTACAAGAGAGACCTGATTTCAACAAAGAACGATGACAACAATGGACAACAGCGACAACAATAAACAGTTATAAAAAGGCATACAGATTTATTTATTTTTTTTACAAATAAGATGGCAAAAAGAGTAACAAAAACAGCTAAACATAAATTAGTAGAACTTTTAGTCGTCTATTATAGACAGACACACACACAGATAGATGCTTTATTAATCCGGGGGCGGGGATTTGAGGCATCCAGTAGCATGTTGAAGTTTTACAGAAAAAAAGACATGAAATAATTAAAAAAGCAGAATACACAAATTTGGAAAAATACAATATGCACATGCACAAGGTGGTAGGGAGTACTACATTCATGATTAACACACACATATATATATTTATGTATACATACAAGCATACATATACATGTGCATATGTACATGTAGAAATACATACATACCTAAGTGTTCAGGTTACCATAGATTTACAAGACGCTATTTTTACTGTACGGGAGGAGTTGAAGATTTTTTTTTCCCAGCACAGAACCAGCTTTCCTCATCAGCCTGTCAAGTCGCTCTGCATCTCTCCTCTTAATGCTGCCTCCATGACACACAACAGAACAGACGAGGACAGCACAGACTGGTAGAACATCAGTTCTGTAGTTTCCTGAAGATACTGAAGGACCCGAGCTTCCTCAAGGAGAGCCTGCTCTGACCCTTCCTGTAGAGGGAGTCCATGTTCACTGACCAGTCCAGCCTATCATCCAGTTGCATGCCCAGATATTTGTAGGTCCTGACCACCTCCACATTGACCCCCTCAATTGAGACTGGCTTCAGGGTAGGCCCAGATCTTCTGAAGCCCACTAGCATTTCCTTTGTTTTACTGAAGTTCAGCTGTAGACGTTTGGATTTGCACCACACTACAAAGTCCTCAGCCTGGGTCCTGTACAGTGTACACCCTCTCCTGTCCATCCTGCACATACCCAATGATTGCAGTGTCATCGGAGTATTTCTGCATGTGGCAAGTCTCCCAAGTTATAACTGAAGTCAGATGTGCACAAAGTGAACAGAACTGGAGAGCACGGTGCCCTGCGGTGCTCCTGTGCTGCTATTGCTAACCACTGTGTCGGAGATGCAGTCCCTGATCCTGACATGTTGTGGTCTCTCAGTGAGTTTGTAATCCAGGAGGCATGTCCACCTCCATCTCCTCAAGCTTGTCTCTCAGTAGAAGGGGTTGGATAGTGTTGAAGGCACTGGAGAAGTCGAAAAACATGACCCTCGCAGCACCGTTTCCCTTGTCTAGGTGAGAGTGAGCCCTGTGCATAAGTCAAGTCAAGTCAGATTTATTTATAGAGCACATTTAAAACAGAAACTGTTACCAAAGTGCTTAACAAAAATATCACAACATCAGATAAAAAGTAGCAAGATATATTTACAGCACATGGAATAAAAATATAAAACCAAAAACAATTAGAAACAATGAAATACTAAATCAGATCACGATGTGTCAAAAGTCAAGGAAATAATAACAAAAAGCATAAACTCAGTCAGAAACAATGAAATACTAAATCAGATCAGATGACCTTGTGTTAAATAGGAATAATAACAAAAGCATTAACAGAATCAGCATCAAAGAAAAACCAGATCTAAAGCCGATCACCCTGTGTTAAATGTCAATGAGTATAAATGTGGTTTTAGGAGAGATTTAAAAGCAGAGACTGAGGTGGCCTGTCGAATGTTGATGGGCAGATTGTTCCAGAGTTTAGGGCCCACGACTGAGAACGCTCGATCTCCTCTGAGCTTCAGCCTGGTTTTTGGTACGGCCAAAAGCAGCTGGTCTGATGATCTCAAGTAATCATCAAGTAACTGATCATAAGTAAAGAATGGCATTGTCCACCCCCTTCTTCTCCTGGTATGCAAACCTCAGTGTGGTGAACCTGAGGTCTGTTTCAGCAGCAGTCGCTCCAGGGTCTTCATTACATGACCGATCATGATCAAGGTGACCGGCCTGTAGTCATTCAGCTCCTTGGGGTGTGCATTCTTAAGAACTGGAACGAGGCAGATGTCTTCCATGTGAAAGGAACCCTCCTGAGACGCAGGCTCAGGTTGAAGACATGTTGGAGACGTGGACAATATGCTTTGAGCACACCATGTCTGAGCCTGCTGCCTTCCTGGGGTGTAGTCTGCTAAGCGCTCTCCTCACTTGATATACAAAGAAGGTTGGAGGGGGGGACTTTGTGTGTGTGTTTATTCCAGCGGATGTTAATGACACAGATAATGATGGTAGTGGAGGTGAGGGTGGGGGATGACGAAGTGAAAACGACTGCTGGAAGAGAGGGGGATGGGGGTGTTGTGGAGCAGGACAATCAAACCACCTGAAAAAGGTGTTGAACTGGTTTGCCTTGTCCACCCCACCGTCTGCTGAGCTGCCATTGTTCTTCTTGCAGCCTGTGATTGTCTTCATTCCAGCCGTCACAGCCTGCAGGTCTTATCTCTGACTCCAGGCCCACCTCCAGCTCAGGCGGCTTCTGGTTCGGACTCCCTCGTCATAACTCACACCATCTCAATAAATCAAGGAAAAGTGTACTCAGTTTACTAGTTGTATTAAATCAAGGCAGGAAAAAGTTACAGCGTTGCCCTCCAATACAATTTGATGCGAGATCAAGGACTGGAAGCGAGAGCAGAAGACCTGCAGGCTGCGACACATCCCAGGTTAATAAATACAGACAATTTTGTGTTTGCATGGGAACAAACAACGATGACAACACATAGCACTTTATTATTTATTTATTAACTCTTCCATGTTATTTTCCTGCAGCTTTAGTTCAATTTAACAGAAAAGGTTTTCCATCCATCCATTATCTTTACCCGCTTCATCCTTTTGTGAAACTAAACCGTAACTATGAAGACGCTGCTTTCAAAAGGAAGCTTAAGTCTCAAGATTTTGTATAAATTAGTTAAAACTTATTTTCATGCCAAAGTTATTAAACTTTTAAGAGGATGTTGAGCTTTAATACACAGTTGTGTTTGTGTATTTAAAGACACTTCAAGTTAAATAGTAAAATACTACGATTATGTTGCAAAACAGTGTTTTCTAAGGCAGAACTTCGCTTTATGGTAAACATAATGTTTCAGAGACTAAAAGTTTAAAGTTCGAGGGGAAAATAAAAATTAGTTTTATGTAAGTTTTACACCATGTGTGAGACTGAAATAAATAAAAGTCAAGGCCTGACCTGCTTCCTCACTACAAGGCTCTTATCAAGTCATAATTGAATTTAAACACACAATGCAATTATGCAAATGAGCCACAGATAAAAACAACCAGACTTTAAATGCAAAACAAACAGTTTTATTGCAGTTCACTGGATTTCATTCTTCTGCTGCACTCATTACCGGCCGGGCACTTGAGCACAGAGGGGGGGACAGGCTGGCATCAGAATACCTTGGATGTGCATAACGACGCGGGCGAAAAGGCGATTATCGGTGATCCCACCTGCACTCAGGTAGGCCACGAGCTTGTCCAGTGTTCACTCGTTTTCAGCCGTTTTAATTTAAAACATAAACAGAGGCCTACCCCAAGCAAACAGAACAAATAAAGAGACATGTTTCTCAGGCACTGCAAACAACGAGGACAAGGCAGAAAAGTACCTGCACAGTACATTCACGGGAAATAAATGGAATTTCTTTGAGACATTTAGGAATCAGTGATTTCATTCGTCTTTGTTTCGTTTCTTCTTCTTATTTTTTGGTTTCTGTTCTTGATCAGATTGTCAGCGTCGTTTGTTAAAGTAAGCATTAAGTACAGAATAACTGATAAGGCAAAAAAAGATGACACGTTAGGCTCATAAGGCTTCTAATTATACAGTCGTAATACTTTCATACACATTTTATGTAAAGATGAACTTTAAACAGGTCACACATTTGAATCTAGGTCCACTTAAAGCTTCAATCTTGTTCTGACATCACAACCGTTCTTTGAATTCAAACACGTTTTTAAATGTGAGAAACTTAAAAAAAGTGACAAGAGTTACCACAAAACTGAGATTCAGCAGCGTCACAGTCAGATGAGTAAATAATTAGCCAGTTGATTGACTTTAAGGCGATTGTATCACTGCAGGTTCCAACGAGAAGGAGTTAAAATAATCAGACATGAGTTGAGATTCAGAAAAGGATGAAAAGTGCTAAATGTTGAGGACTTCACATCAAACCAAGAATCAAATATGAACACACAAAAAAAATCTAGTCTGGGTTGGGCTGTATTGTGCAGGTGGCAGGAGTGTAGAGAAGGAATGAGACAGAATTAGCAGGAAATAAAAACAAACAAGAGTTTAGCCATGATGTGGGACAAGTGTGCACTCAGCTGATCAGTAGAAAACCACACTGGACTTTCCTCCAGGGGGGTTGAGGACCCGGTTGTGAGAGCGAGGCTTGGGTCCCAGGTGAGGCTCATGGTTCTTCATCAGCTCCTCGTCAGGTGTTGAAGTAGGCGGTTTGGGTTGCGGAGGGGGTGAGACGGCTACAGGCTCCTCCTTTGCTGGAGCAGGAGCAGGAGCAAGAGCAGGAGCTGGAGCAGGAGCTGGAGCAGGAGCTGGGGGAGCAGTTTCTTGCTTCACCTCTGGTGGGCTGACTTTGGCTTCAGGAGCTTGAAGGAGAGAGAAAATATGTTTATTACTAATTATTGAATCTTTCATGAGACTTTTACAAAGTTGTATTTTACATTTTGTGTCCATGGAAAACAAGTTTAAATAAAAAGAAGAAAACTGACGCCTGTTCCACCTACAACCTTGAGTTGTACATTAAAATGTCACTATGCTTAAAAAATACTGAAGAAAAGCTTCCTATGCAGATTTTAAACATGTTTTTATTTAAATAGAACAGGTTTGTAATATGGATATTTGATTGGAACAAATACATCAGTTTACCATGTAAAAAATATATACATCAAAAATATCCCGTTGACTATCTAAAAATGTCAAGTCTGGTCCTCTGGACATTCAAAAAACAAAACAAAACAAACAAACAAAAAAAAAAGGTATAAACGTTTTCATCTTTCATCCGAAAGACTTCTTCAGTCTGAGGTGCTGTACTCTACCTACAAACCGGATTCCAAAAAAATTGGGACACTAAACAAATTGTGAATAAAAACTGAATGCAATGATGTGGACATGGCAATTGTCAATATTTTATTCGTAATATAACATAGATGACAGATCAAAAGTTTAATCTGAGTAAATGTAACATTTTAAAGGAAAAATATGTTGATTCAAAATTTCAGTGTCAACAAATCCCAAAAAAGTTGGGACAAGTAACAATAAGTGGCTGGAAAAAGGAAATTGAGCATATAACGAACAGCTGGAAGACCAATTAACACTAATTAGGTCAATTGACAACATGATTGGGTATAAAAAGAGCTTCTCAGAGTGTCAGTGTCTCTCAGAAGCCAAGATGGTAAGAGGATCACCAATTCCACCATTGTTGTGCAGAAAGATAGTGCAGCAATACCAGAATGGTGTTACCCAGCGTAAAATAGCAAAGACTTTTAAGTTATCATCATCAACTGTGCATAACATCATCAAAAGATTCAGAGAATCTGGAACAATCGCTGTGCGTAAGGGTCAAGGCCGTAAAACTCTACTGGATGCTCGTGATCTCCGGGCCCTTAAACGTCACTGCACCTCAAACAGGAATGCCACTGTCAAGGAAATAACAGAAGGGCTCAGGAATACTTCCAGAAAGCATTGTCAGTGAACACAATCCACCGTGCCATCCGCCGTTGCCAGCTGAAACTCTACAGTGCAAAGAGGAAGCCATTTCTAAGCAAGCTCAGACGTTTGCACCGGACCAGGGGTCATTTAAAATAGAGTGTGGCAAAATGGAAGACTGTTCTGTGGTCAGATGAGTCACGATTTGAAGTTCTTTATGGAACACTGGGACGCCATGTCATCCGGACCATAGAGGACAAGGATAGCCCAAGTTGTTATCAACGCTCCGTTAAGAAGCCTGCATCACTGATGGTATGGGGTTACATGAGTGCTTGTGGCATGAGCAGCTTGCATGTCTGGAAAGGCACCATTAATGCAGAGAACTATGTTCAGGTTCTAGAACAACATATGCTCCCATCTAGACGTCATCTCTTTCAGGAAAGACCCTGCATTTTTCAACACGATAATGCCAGACCACATTCTGCAGCAATCACAACATCATGGCTACGTAGGAGAAGGATCCGGGTACTGAAATGGCCAGACTGCAGTCCAGATCTTTCACCTATAGAGAACATTTGGCGCATCATAAAGAGGAAGGTGCGACAAAGAAGGCCCAAGATGATTGAACAGTTAGAGGCCTGTATTAGACATGAATGGGAGAGCATTCCTATTTCTAAACTTGAGAAACTGGTCTCCTCTGTCCCCAGACGTCTGTTGAGTGTTGTAAGAAGAAGGGGGGATGCCACACAGTTGGTATGTTTACATGGACATAAGTAACCGGATCAAATGGCCGGTCGGAATAAAAGTGTGTCATGTAAACGCTCCGTTCGGGTTATTTTTTGTGTATTCGGCGTGATCCGTTATAATTTCTGATCAGAACGAAACGGGTGGTTTACGCCGATCCGAAACCCGATCGGTGCGCATGTAAACGCTTGATCTGTTCATTTTTATCTGATGGTGAAAAACTGACCTGACTGCGCATGTGCGACTTTGCCATTTCCGCCTGGCTAACGCTAATAATATTAGCATGTCAGGGAAGTAAAACTGGTCGGTGAGCGACACAACATTTCTACTAGAAACTTTTAAAGAGCTCAAAATGATTTCTATTACCTGTAGCTCAGTCAGGGAGTGCAATAACGTCTCCAACATCATTAAAACCTGTCGCGGGTCCATTTTGGGTGCTCAGGTTTTTTTACGTTCACCCGGAAGTAGAACTTCTTCTTCGGTGGTTTTTTTAAGGAGAGTTTACCACTCTGCGCATGTCAGTACTGCTGTTCAGAACAAAGCCCGCTGCATGTAAACGCTCATCATGAACTGATTGTGCCCATGTAAACAACACATGTGAATTATTCAAACAAAACACAGTTCAATCCGGTCAGAGAATTCTGCGCATGTAAACATAGCTACTGGTAAAAATGGACTTGTCCCAACTTTTTTGGGATTTGTTGACGCCATGAAATTTGGAAACAGATTTTTCCCTTAAAATGATAAATTCTCTCAGTTGAAACTTTTGATCTGTGATTTGTGTTCTATTCTGAATAAAATATTAGATGTTGGCACCTCCACATCATTGCATTCAGTTTTTATTCACAATTTGTTTAGTGTCCCAACTTTTTGGAATCCGGTTTGTAGATTATTGAGCATGCATCACGATCTCACGTTGACTAGATTATTATTATACACTGTTGTGGGCGTGGAGACTAACAACTGTAGTTATTGTTTATAGTAAACACTTGAAGGTTTGCTTTTATTGTCATACTTCTTCAGACATAAAAGACTGTACCCTCTGAACTTGATCCAGTCTGGTATGGCTTTAGTAAAAATATTTACAGGATTCTGCATGTTCTACAACAGGGTTATTCAACTGGCAGCCCGCAGGTCGTGACTTCAATCCGGCCCACTTCATTTAAAAACTAAAAAATAAATAAATAAATATATTTTTTGGGTTCCGTTTATTGCATTTATGATTCAATGCAATAAAATAAACTAATTTAAAAGGTGACAGATCATTGTAAAACTTGGTTTATTTACATAATGACTTTAATCTCTGGATGTCCGGCCCCGAAGCTGCTGGCTTCCAGAAACTGTGGCCCCCTGAGCAGTTTTGTTGAATAGCCCTGTTCTACAAGCTTAGTTTAAGAGTTATGCACGTTAACTTACCTGGAGATTCAGGTTCTGGTCGCACAGATAGATTGTCCTACAAGAAAGAAAAAAAAAAGAAATTAATGATCAGAGGGTAAAAAAAATAAATTAAAGACCATAATGTTCTTGCTGGAGTGACTGAAGCTATGCAACAATCAAACAATGGGCATGACATGACGACTTCCTTAAGACAGTTTAGATCATGTGTCAAACTGAAGCCTGTGATACAATTTTATCTGGTCCAAAAGATTATATTTTATAAGTGAACTGATCTCCAAACTGAGACAGACTGAGTCTCTATGGATTCCTGTTTTACCTAAAAATTGAGGACAAGGAGTGCTAAGCACAACAATTCGCTGACTCTGAATTATGGAAAATTATGGAAGGTGAAACATTTCAGCAAAAAAAAAAAAAAAGAAACTGTCCAGATGACCTGACTGAAAATTGTTGGATTGTACACCTGGATTACTGAGCATGGACTTTTTTGGTTTTGAACCAGTTAGACATGACTGTCGACGAGGATGAGGGACGGCACCACAGGAGGGGGCGTGCCAAAGACACCATTTTGGCACCAACATAACTGGCTTGTTCCACTTTGGAGTAAGCCGTTTGGGGGAAGAATCAGTTTTGTGTTGTGTTTTTCCTTGACTGATGAAGCCTTCTGGATGGAAGGTGAAACGTTTCAACAAAAAAAGAAACCGTCCAGATGACCTGACTGAAAATTGCTGGATATGGAAAAATAAGTTTGTCAGTAATCTGATGTTGACATAGAAAGAGAAACCATCAGCTCAAACTCTTGCAGATGAATTTGCAGCCAAGAAAAGGTATCGGCCTTTGGCTAGTGTACATCAGAGCGTCTGCGTGATTATATAGTTTATTTGTCTGTTTTACAGTTTTTAGTTAAGACTTCTTTTTACTGGTTTGATTACATAAAAAAAACTGCTGATAGAGAAAAAGACAAAAAAAAAAAAAACTAGTGAGGCGTCTTAAGTTTTGTTAGTTCCAAACTCTGCATAATCTGTCCAGGAAAACATTAGGTTCAAATTTAAATATGAATCAACAAAATACAGCTGAAAAAATGGTCAGTTTACCAGTAGACTGTATTTTGTCATTAAATACTGACAATTTTTGAGATAAGGAGCGGGTCAAATTTTTGTAAGAGTAAATAATGACTGTTCAGAACCAGAGTAGAAATCACAACGCAACACATGGATGCTGTTTCAACTCGTTTACCAGCATTTAGATGAAAAATGACTCAGAGATAAACCTGAGTGTGTGCCATTGTTAGCTTGTTTTACATTATTAATTTGGATGATGCATTTATAATAACTTGTCAGCTAGTCCTCAAAAGGCCCAGAAGCTGGCGTGTTTACCATCAGTGTGAGGCCTCAATGATAAAAATGGGTTATGGTTTACCTTTGGCTTGTTTGGGTGACTTCTGCATGAGCTTTGGACAGGTGCACTCTCTGCAGACCCAAAAATGTTGCTGGCTACTCCACCTGGAGCTGTGGGTCTATGAGGTTTAACTGGAGGCTCAGGTTCACCAAATATCCCACTGCTCTTCCCACCTGCACAGAGTGTCACCACAACGTTTTAACATATTGCTGCCATGACACTGTATGTCCTGGTATGTGAACACATTAGTGTTGTGAGTCTGATGTCTGAAAATGTGGAAAATGACTGACTCCATCAACAAACAATACCTGAAATCAAAACTTATATGGCTTTATTAAATACTTCACAAAATCTGGGAGGTGTGCAAGCATGGAGTCCAAGTATTTATACTGGAATGATCAAATCCTTGAATCGCCACCTTGTTGTAGTGGAGGAGTTTGTGCATCTTAATGTTTCTAGGAGCTAGACTGTCTGAGGCAATTGTACCGGGCAGCACCTTCGGCCACTGCCCATTGAGTCATGCACCCTGCTTGTATGGTCCCTCCTGCAGGTGGTGGACCCACAGGAAGACAAGCCCATGTTGCTCATTCAGGCTGACCTCGACTGGGCCCCATGGTGAGAGGCACTGAGCTGGTACGATCTGATCAGGTCTCTGATCTGAACCCGAGCGGTGTTCTTTTTTGTTGGACTTTTGTGCTAATCATAGTTTGTTCATCATATACACCATGTTCGAACATCAAGGTGTCTATAAGTGCACTTGGCACCAGGACGCCCTGGGTCATAGGTTGATGTTTGACTTTGTAGTTGTGTCATCTGATCTGCAGTCGTTTGTTTTGGACACTCAGGTGAAGAGAGGAGCTGAGCCGTCAACCTGGCAGTGAGTCGAGTCAGACGCTAGACAGACCCAGTAGATCCAAACACGTAGTGAGGGTTTGCTGGGAACGCCTGGCAGAAGAACTCGTCAGAAAGATCTTCAACTCACACCTCCGCTAGAACTTTAACTGCATCCCAGCTGAGGCAGGGGACATCGAGGCTGAGTGGACCATGCTGTTGCCACAAGGTTGTCTGTGCTTCTCATGGTGGTGAGGCATCTGCAGTATTGTGGACTCTGTGCTGGTCTGTTATGGTGAAGAGGGAGCTGAGCTGTAAGGCAAAACTGTTCATCAGTCGGTCTACATTCCTACCCCCTCACCTATAACCAACTCTGGGTAGTGACTGAAAGAACGGGACTGCGGATGCAGTTGGTTGAAATGAGTTTCCTCCGCAGGGTAGCTGGACTCTCTCTTAAAGATAGGGTGAGAATTTCATTTATTCGGGAGAGACTCAGAGTAGAACCACTGCTCCTCCACATCAAGGAGCCAGTTGAGGCGATGCGGGCATTAGATAAGGATGCTCCCTGGGCGGCTCCCTAGGGAGGAGCTTTGGGCATGTCTGACTGGGAGAACACGAGAAAGACCCAGGACACGCTGGAGAGACTATGTCTTTCGGTTGACCTGGTAACACCTTGGAGTCCTCCCAGAACAGGTGGCTGTGGAAAGAGATGTCTGGGCCTCCCTGTTCAAACTGCTGCCCTCGTGACCCAACTTCGGAACAAGCGGAAGATAGATGGATGGATAAATATCAAATGAAAGGGACAATTTTTACAGCATGGTCTCTGCACATTCATTTTACTCAAAAATCTCTGACCTGGAGGATTGGAGCGTCTGGAAACACTCTGAGGCTCTTCTGGTGGAGTGAAAACTTTGGAGGCCATTTTGTTAGGTCTTCTTGATGCTGCAGAATCATCTTCATAGCCACCAAAAAGGTTGCTGGTGCCACCACCAGGAGGCTGCAGCACCCTGATCGACAAAACAAAACGTTACAATTTGACCAACTCAGACAAAGGTTTGCTTAAAAAAAGTTGTTGAAGTTTGGTCAGCGACACCTTGAAATTTTAACACTGATTTATTTTTTTTAATTAAAAAATATATATTTCCTTTTGTAAGATGAAGACACAAAGGGTCAACAATCACTGCCTGAAAGGAGGAGGGCAGCATCGTTTTCCTGAGGGCCATCTTGGCTTAGCTGATGCGACAAAACGTACAGGAAATGAAATGAAAGTCACCATTGGCTACAATTTTTGGTTGCATATTTACATTTTGTTGAAATACATTAATATTTTAGGGGCTGTCCACACAGACAGCCTTTTAGGAGCCTCAAAACAGTATTTCGAAATTAAAAAATGGGTTTCAGAGAGAAAATCTTGGAATGACGCTCAAATTTTATGTAACAGCATACAGCTACAACTTCAGTGCTTCTTGTGTTTGTGCTGCAGAAGCTAAAGAACCTTGTAGTTTAACTACAGCAAACCCCTTTTATATAAGGCCGATGATCCATAACATGCGCAACAAACTTGACTCACAACAAAGGAGAACCAGTCAGCAAAAAAAACAACTTTAAGAGATTGGACATTTCACACACAGCAGGCAAGCTTTATGCACATGCATCTTAACCGTTCTCTCATGAGCTCGACCTGCTGGGTCGAGCTCATGTCCAATCCATGTCCAATCTCATGTCCAATCCATGCTCATGTCCAGCAGGGTTCAGAGGCTCTCCATGAGGTGATCCTAACCACTTTTTAGGTCCTACCTTGCCGAGTTGCAGACAAGCCACTCTTAGCTGATAATAATGACGTCAGCAGACCGAGGGGGCTCTCCCATGGCATTGACTGCTTCAAAAGCACCATTTTCTACAACCACACAAACTTGCTTTTAGCCAGTTTTCTGTAACGTAGGTCTTATAGGCTTTTTCTGGATCACCAATTTGTGCATGACCAATCATAGACCGAGCAGCAGGCATGATCTCATTGTCCTCCGTGGTTGGGACCCCCCCCCCAAAATGACATTAAAGGAGTGTCGAGCAGCCTTCGTACGATGATCCCGCCAACATCAAGGTGCCACAGCGCCACAGAGGTGTGGCATGGTCACGATAACGTTTCACCTCATTTCTGGTGCTCTCGTGTGGACGGAGACATTTCTAGAACAGGTGCCAATCCAGCTCACTGTTCAAACTTGCATAAATACATTGAGACATTCCTTACAGGAGATCGAAACATCTCAAAAATGTTTGCCAACTTTGGACAGAAGCTGGAGAGTTTTATTGCTTCTTTAGAAAAAGACAAATGAAGAGAACGTTTTGGACAAATTGGACTAGGCAAGGTCTTAGCTTTGTACCCATGAAGTAATGCTTTAGACAAAGAAAAATAATGTTTAGGCTTATTTTAGTTAGATAATATGAAAAAGACACCACAGACCTCAGTTTATAGTCATTACCAGAATTCTGGCTTTACTTGATTTAGTTCAAATTGTGCCAGTTTTCATGAGGACGTATGAAGGACCACTTCTGGCCTTGTTTTACTAACGAGTGACCCTCAAAAGAAGCAGTGTTTTCTACTTTTTTCAGATTGTAGTAGTGCAGGAGTAGTAAACACTAGAATATGTGACAGAATAACCAGCAACAAAATAACAGGTTATCTGATTACACCAGGGGACGGAGCTGTAGGTAAGAAAACTGTCATTTGTTACTTTAAAAGTCATGTTTCTGGGATGACACGTTCCTGAGTCCATCGTATAACTTGATAAAAAAAACACACTCGTGTAACAAGAACAATGTGACCACAAACCCGTTGAAGGAGGACACAAAGACGAGCTGCCGTCTCCCACTTCCGCAGCAGACAACGCCTGATAGCTCGAAGGCTATCACTGACCCTTGAGTATATTTTAACAAATCTCGCTGAAGATAAACACTCATAATAGATTGTATATAGGTTGCTTAAGAACAGAACATTGATCGGGCTTGAAATATTAAGCGATTGAGGACGTTTTAAAATCTACTTACTTGTGCTAACTGATCACACGTACTCATATTTGAGTCACTTTAGACCGACTTAAACGGAGCTATAATTGTTACCTGGAGCTCGGTTTTGAACCCGTGCTTAAGCCTTGAAACGTGTTCGTCGAAGTCATGGTGGATTTGTTTGGAGACGTCAAGTTTCCGTAGACAAGTTCGTCGTTTTTTTTTTTTTTGCCACCTAGACAACCAGCAACTTCCACCCTGCCTGCGCCTGCCCAAAACACTCCCCAAGAATCTGAGGCCGCCCAGCTGTGACGCAGAGAAATGTCACTGGTCAACGGCCAAACCCGGGTGCGCTCGATTTATGTATCCTTCAACACGACGGGAAAACGTTGATGTTGTTACCCTGAGTCACTCAAAGAAAACAGACTGAAGTAATCCACCGTGATTTCTTAATAAATAGTGACATTTTTGCTTAATTGTATTTAAATTAGTGTTGTTAAAAAAGCCAATTACAACAAGCATTTACATCCCCGCCCTGCTGATACGCGTGGTATTTGTAGTTATATCTTGTTTAACATTATTGAGTATGCATCAGGATACTTGTTTAACGTTGCAACGAACTGACATAAAATTTGAAACTGACAACTACAAAATTAAACAAAATTTATTCCAAGCTAGGTAGGTTGTAACCTTGGCGTGGTTATTTCCGGGATACGCTTGTGGATGAATTCAAATGCATCCTCTAAATTCCACCCAGGAGCGTTAATCAATTTCTGGGCGGGTTACAGATTTTTTTTTACCGGTCCTATTCGTTTTTGAGATAAATTCGTTCTAAAGTTCTCCAGAATTACAGAACAGAGACGGTGAAAATGCTAAAGAGTAAAGTTTATGCGTTATTAATGTTCGAAAAAGATTTATGGAGCATGACAGGAAGAGAATGACAATTGGTTTCTTTGTGAATCTTTTTGACCAGCAATTGGCGAATCCTCCTATCAATCACGTATTTTGTGCCCGCCTTCTAGTATTTTGGACCAATCCGCGACTTTGTTTTTGAGTTGTAGTGGGCGTGCCAAGGCGCGTGGGACAATCGATCCTTGGGAGCTGTCAGCGGTACTAGGCTAAAGCCAGTTAGCAATGCTAGTCAGCCTGTCGACTGGAAATACTACTGGGAAACTTCTGCTTTCAGGTAATTTTTATACTTTGCTCGCGTTATCCGTTTTCAAAACATTTTTAATACTTGTATGAACAACAGCATTTACATTATAAGGAGTTTTTTTTTTATGACGTTAGAGCTTTGTCTGATCGTTAATGTTAGCTTAGCAACACTAGCGGCCATGCTAGTCGGTAAGGTTGGGAAGATATGGAAAACATATCTGTTATTATAAGTATAAGTTAATACCAACTGTGCCAAAAATATGCATCCCAGACTGGCCTTTCTTAATATTTACAGATTTTTTTAATATAATGTCAACCTTGTGGTGAGAACACAGGGATCTCAGAGCTGCTTGAACAGTAACATTTCTCGAGTGAAAAGTAACAAGTTTGTAGAACAGTGTTAGATTTGTGTGTGTACAATTGTAGCTAAATGTCATATTACCTTTGAAACAACTTGTCAAAGCAGAAAACATTATGTTTATGCTTCACGTGTCTGGTAACTTATAGCATAAGATTTGACACTCGGGAGCTCAATTTTACGTTCAGCTTTTATAAATGTTGATTTTAGACTCTCAGCTAGTTAATACAGTTATACATCTTATTTTCATGAGTTACTTGTAAGAGGATACAAATAAAGAGTTTGTAAATGTTTTCTAGGATATTAGAACAAAATGTTGCTGGGAAATGTTTCCCCAATCCATTTTCACTCATGTTTTAATTTTAGAAAAATGTTATAGAAATGTATTAACTTTCCTATTGCCATCACTTTGCGTTGCTCTTCTTCTGATGATTAATGAATAACTATAAATCAGGATAACAGTAGACCACATATAGTAATAAAACTGCGGTTTTATACTTTACATCACTGTTATACAAATGTAATACTTTAGTCTTAATGTTAATTGCACACAGCCTGCTCAGTAGGTTAGGTGATTTAGTGTTGCTTTACAATTGCAGCTGATGTGTTTGGAATAATTTACATTTACAGAGATATTTTCTGATGGTGATGGTGACGTAGAAAGTCTATTTGGGTCAATAAAACTATCTATGCTCATCAATTCAAATGAACTCAACAGGCTGGGAGTTTGGTGTTTTTTCCCCCGCTGCAGGTAGTGAGTGTTTCATATGTGTAAGTGTTGTTTTATAGTTTTATTTGTAGTTGCAAAGAGGTATTGAGTAATGTTGCTGACAGAAAACAGTTGAACTGCGCAGAGTTCAGCTCAGTCGGAGCCGGAGAGAGGAGAGGGCAGAGCGGGGAGCTCGGCTTCGGCTTTTATTATGTTCAATTCGACCTGTATTTACGCGTCTAAGCGGCAGGACTCATGGTGAAGAGAAAGAAGACGTCCCCTGCCTCGGAAGAGCTCGAAAATGGGTAAAAATCTGTTCGAAATAAACACTTTCCTCGGAGGTCGAATGCAGCGAGGGGTTCTCGTCGTCGTTTCTGCAGGGCGCTAAACTGAAAAGCGCTCGCTTTTGAATTGAGTTTAAATTATTAAGGTGTTTTTGCCTGTTCGAGACTAAACACTTTTTGAGGAACACAGCCGACAGTCTGTAAACTGTTCCGGTTGTTTGATTTGATGCATTTCAGTTCGTTAAATTGATACATTTGGTGTTGTTTTGACGGGACTAGAGAGGGGATTTGAAACAAACAGCGGCGGCCATGTTGAGAGACTGTAAACGTCGTCTTTGGAAGTTAATTTTACTCGCAGCATTGCAACTAACGTGATGAATTTCCCCCCCGAAATGTGTCTTGGCAGCATGACACCAGGCTCCAGGGAGGGGGCCGGTGTCGACGGGAGGCAGAATCCGTCCAGAAAGCCCGAAGCCTGCGACGAGGAGGAGAGCGGAGAGCAGGCGAGCGAGGAGCGCAGTACAAAGGGAGACGACCGAGTGGAAATACTTAATCCATCAGCCGCGGGTCTCGGCTCCGGTTCTGTCCTCCCCGTCTCTCCGCCGAGCCGAACCGGGCTGGGCTCGAACCAGCAGCAGCCCAACACCTCAACGGAACCCGCCCCTCCGTGTCACGACCAGCATCATTTTCTCAGGTCGAGCGTCCGACCTCCGAGCAAACGGATACGGAAGGATTCAATCGGATCCACCATCAATGGACACAGCGGGGCCAAATCGAAAGGTACATACTGATCATCCCAAAGACAGTGAGATTAACATGAGGTTCCTGCTCTCACTTTTCACACCGTCACTGTGTGCAGTTTGTCTCCAGGCCACCTTGTTGCTTTATATTCCTGGGACACTTGACAGGGGTCTGAGTCCTCTCTGGCAGCCTGAGTTGTAACATCATCCTGTAAAAAGTCAGAGACCAGCACCTAGGTTTCTGTTAGGATGACACCCGACTGTTCTCAGTTAAAAACAACTCATCTCAGTATTTCAGTAGGGACATAAAATCAAAATCGCTCCAAACGGTTGTTTCAGCTCACCGTGAGTTCACAATTCTTAATGCTGCATTTTTTAAAATATATTGCGTTAATTTTCATCAACAGAAATGTGGAACCAACTTCCAGTTTCTGTCCATAAGGTTGACACATTGTCCAGTTTTAAGATTGGGCTTAAGACTTTCCTTTTTGATAATTCCTATAGTTCGAGTCGGCTTGTCGTGCTGTCTTAAGCTTAGACTACTGGAGGACAAATTCACCTCATTTCCTTAAATGCGTTGCTAAAATTGAATAGTTTTCATTTGATACTATTTCTATCTTGACATGTGATTCTTGACCTGCCATTGTGTATCTGTTCCTACCAAACCCAGCAGGTCAAAGCAGATGGCTGCTGGTCCTGAGCCTGGTTTTGCTAAAGGTTTCTTCCTCATGAGGGAGATGAGAGTCTGCGATGGAGTTAAACTCAAAGCGGTCTGCTCCTCAGCTAAATAATGTTAAATTATTGTTTTTAAATATGAATGTTTCTGTTCAGTGCCCTGAGACGACTTCTGTTGTGACTTGGCGCTGTATAAATAAACTGAATTGAATTAAATTGAATTAGAAATCACTAGTGACAAACGGCAACTGCAAAAACGGTTATATTTATATGCCAGATGGATATTATTTAATTTAAAGACTGTTTTTGCACTAACCTAGAATACTGGCTATATCAGGGAACTGACACGGTAACAGTGACATTTCTGAGCTTTAAACACAACCTAGAGATGCTCTCTGCACATGCTTCCCATGCAAATGAGACATCATCCTCTGAGTTTCAGTTCCATCAGTCAGAAGAAACACAGATAAGTAGGACTTGGGGTGGGACAAGAGCACAAACATCCTGTATGTGTGAAAAACGTAGAGCAGTGTGCCATCTGTTCATTTAAAATCCTGTTACTGAGATACTGCCAGTCAGAAACCCATGCCTTCATAGCTGGAGAAAAACATTTTTTGGGCACTGACTCAGACAGAAAAAAGTCCTTAATGGTTTATTTTGGCTCAGCTGCGGTTTTTCTTTTTTTTAATGTGGCTCTATAAATGGACTGGCCTTTGATTAGACAGAAATAAGTGTTTAGAGTGTGATAAATTTAGAGCGCTCTGACAAGTCTGACTTGCGTATTTTTTATGTTACTGGCAAAAAGAAAGTGACTAGTTGTTTTACAAAAGACATTTAGATCATTCTGACAGCAAAATCAAACATTTCAGAGTATTAGTTGTTTTTGTACAAGGAAAGTCAACCTAAATATTCATTCTGTCATTTCTAAATTTGGTTGCATTTTTTTTCCCCACTGAAGTCTTGATGAGTGTGTGGCTCATTGTTTCTGGATAACACAGGGGCAGAGAACAGTTCTTCTCATGGGGCTGTGGGACAGTCTGTGGCTGGCTCCACAGGAGGGTTGTCGAAGGCGTCCAAGAGCCAAGGGTCTGCTGAGAAGGAGGAGCAAGCTGGAAGCCAGAAGAGAGCCCGTCGGCAGTGGGAGTCTTGGAGCGCAGAGGACAAAAACAGCTTTTTTGAGGGGCTCTATGAGGTGAAAAGTGCAGCAAATCAAAGCAGCACGCTCACACAAAAAAGATCTCGTGAACGTTTTTTGCTTATTTATTTTTTCTACTTTCACTTTCAGCATGGGAAGGATTTTGAGGCGATCCAGAACAATATCGCTATGAAATACAAAAAGAGAGGAAAGCCGGCCAACATGGTGAAGAACAAAGAGCAGGTCCGGCATTTTTACTACCGCACCTGGCACAAGATCTCCAAGCACATTGACTTTGCCAACGGTCAGTGTCTCTTCATAATTTATTACTGTTGATGTAATTTGCAGTTTGTAGGCACTTTGCAGTCTTATCTAACTTGTTGGTTGTTTGATTTATCTGCTAACATGCATGTTGAACTTTTCTTTCTATTATTCACCAAATGTGGATCACCAAAGGAGCTAGAGTAGCTCAGTGGTCAGTGCTGCACTCTTGTAATCCTGAGGCTGCAGGTTCAAGTCCAGTTTGCGCCAGGAAGGGTGTTCTGCACAAAACAATTGGCAAACGTTTTGTGCAAGTTCTCTTGCTGTGGCGACCCCTGAAGAAGAGGGCAGCTGAAAGGAAATTACTACAACCAAATATTGGTTACCGAAACTGCAAATGTTTTAATACACGGTCATGATCTACCGTACTTGTCCAGATTCAATCTATTTATTTGCTGTTGAACATTTATAGATATTTGAGCCTCCATTCTGATACAGATATGTGCTCATCAAGTAAACAAGAATCTATCTTATCACATATCAACTATCTGACCTGGCCATCTCAAATTTATATATATATATATATATAAATTCCCATGTCCTACGTGAATGTTAGTGTTTTGTTATTTACTTTAATATTACTTACGTTATTTACTTTAATATTACTTACGTTATTTACTTTAATATAGGGGTGTCTAACTCACTTACAAAGGGGGCCAAAATTAAAACCTTTTTCAAACTAAGGGCCGGTTTCAGAATCTACATTAACCCAAGTTAGATACTCAACATCTTTTCTTGGTTGCAGGTTCCTCAACAAGAGTTTGATTGGTCTCATTTGATTTTCTCTGTTGCACTTTTGACATGATAATCAAAGATTACTGAAAAAAATTAAAGTGATAAAAGTATTTTACATTTAAAATAACTTCTTGGGGGCCAGATAAGATGTCAACGAGGGCCACATTTGGCCCCCGGGCTTTGGACACATGTACCTTAAACTAAACATGGGTTAAAGAGTTATATAAGATAAGGCTAAACCTATTTCCCTGACTAAATATTTTTGACGCCACTGTCATGTTATCTTTATGTAGCATACACAGATCTCCTGCCTACTCGTGCCCACTTTTTCTTTTCAGTTTACTCTCGCGTCTTGAAGAAATCTTCTCAAGAACTGTATGGTCTTATCTGCTATGCTGAGCTTCGTAAAAAAGTTGGAGGACGTAAGTGAAGGCCGTTACAAGTTTAAATACATTTCTTCTTGAGGCAATTTGCTCGGGAGTTTTGTTTTTGCTGCTGTTGGACTGAGACACCAGGGATGTGATTAAACCCGTTGCCCTTAAGGGACAATGACATAACCTTCTCTCTGTTCTTGTGTTTTGTCTTCAACAGTAATGGATGAAAAGAATGTGGCAAAGCTAAATGAACTAATCCAGCAAGGGTAAGCTTGTACCATAAAACAAGCTTTTATTTTTCATGTGGGGGGGGGGGACAAAAAGCATTAATAGCAGGAACATAGATAGGCAGAACAGTGATTTTTATGGACTTGGTGTTGAAAGGATTTGTGTTACATTATTGTTCTTCAGGGCCACCACTGTTCGCTCTAAAGGGAGGAACCTGCGAATTAAAGCACCCATGTGCCGTGCACTGAAGAAACTCTGTGATCCAGACGGTGAGCGTCCGCACGTACAAACCAAAGCATTTACTTTAAACAAAACAGATCAACGTCTCTACCTGAAAACACAAATAAACATAAATGGTGGCACACAGGGTCTGTGGGGGCAGTATTTTGGCAAAAACAATTGTAGTGTGTGGGCTAGCCATGTTTCCACAGTAACTATATGTGGAACATGAAGAAGAGCTGAACGGACTGTTCTGGCCAGCAGTCATCAATCTTCCTTCAATAACATTATTTTGGACATTTAAGTAAAACAATTTACCCAGTTTAAGAATAAAAACAAGAATCTGACATCTGACTTAAGGTTGCTTTGTAACACCATCTTACACAGTTTGTACTTGATTAGAGCTGTTGTGAAGCAGCATTTAGTGCAAAGGACTTAAAACAAAGTGGGGGCAGAAGGAAGGAAGGTTTTACTGATCCATCAGCTTTATAGCTAAATTTAAATTTGTGTGAGACAAAACCTGCAGCACCAGTCATTCATTGACTGTTTTACCAGAAAGACAGGTCTTAAAATACTTATTTTACACGCCACACGTCTATTTCAGTCAACCTTTTATTATATATTATAATAATAATATATGTATAACCTTGACTATTGGTATTGAAAATGTGTCTAGAAACACATCGTTTTGTTTAGTGCAAATATACTGGCATTTCTATTTCAAAAGCTCTAATGTCTGGCTTTTTGTCTACTTGGCTCTTATTTTACAAGTGACCTTGTCTATAAGAGAAGTTAAGTTGGTGTCTGTCTTTGAGTTATGGTGCATCTTCATGTTCCTGCAGGAGTGAGTGATGAAGAAGACCAGAAGCCGGTGCGTCTGCCCCTGAAGGTGGCGGTGGAGCTTCACCCACGCAGTAACCACTCATGGGCCCGTGTTCAAAGTCTGGCACACAATCCTCGCCTCAGGTAAGGCGTGCTGATTAACTAAGGTTCCTAAAGTGTACCATGTTTGTTATTATGAGAGGTACAATATATTACCCTCATAAAAAGTGTTTATGTCAAAAGTTGTTGTATTTAAAACTGCTGATAGCCTCATAATTCCTGTCCTAGTTAGTTTGTAATGTGAAAAAATATATATATATGAATGCAGAGCACAAGATTAGTGACACATCTTCACATAAAATTACATTTTGCTTGGAAGTGGTCAGGTCAGCTGTAATACATTTATCTAGGTTATTCTACGTTTACCTAGATTTATTATTAACAGTTCAAAACATGTCTTGGACACTCGGGTGAAAAGAGGGGCGGAGCTGTCCACTGATCACTACCTGGTGGTGAGTTGGCTCCGATGGTGGGGGAGGATGCTGGTCAGACCTGGCAGACCCAAACGTATTGTGAGTGTTTGCTGGGAACGTCTGGCAGAGTCTCCTGTGAGACGGAGTTTTAACTCCCACCTCTGGGAGAACTTCAAACATGTTCCGAGGGAGGTGGGGGACATTGAGTCTGAGTGGACCATGTTTCATGCCTCTATTGTCGAGGCGGCTTACCGGAGCTGCGGCCGCAAGGTTGTCGGTGCCTGTCGCGGCGGCAACCCTCGAACCCGATGGTGGACACCGTCGGTGAGGGATGCTGTCAGGCTGAAGAAGGAGTCCTATCGGGCCTTTTTGGTCGCCCAGACACCCTGCGGAGAAAACTCATTTCGGCCGCTTGTATCCGAGATCTCATTCTTTCGGTCACAACCCAAAGCTCGTGACCATAGATGAGGTGAGGTGTTCCGGACACGTCCCACCAGAAGGAGGCCCAGAGGAAGACCCAGGACACGCTGGAGGGACTATGTTTCTCGGCTGGCCTGGGAACGCCTCAGGATTCCTCCAGAAGAGCTGGCCCAAGTGGCTGGGGAGAGGGAAGTCTGGGCCTCCCTACTTAGGCTGCTACCCCCGCGACCCGACCCCGGGTAAGCGGAAGAAAATGGATGGATGGATGGAGTTCAAAACATTTAAAAGCAGAGATTATTCTCAAAATCTCACTCAAAAAGACAAAATGTCCCCTGCCCACCAAAAAATGTCAGCATTTCTTTGGAGAATTTTTAGCTTTGGACCACTGGTATCATTTTAATACACTTAAAATATCTCAGCATTTATTTATGTTCTATTGTACCCCAATATTTTTTATTGATTGTGTCAAACCACTTCTTGATGTTTCTGCAGATTCATACCATAGGTGTGATGGATGCATTTGCTTCTCTTCTTACGTAATGCACCCATCGCTCTGAAACGTGTCAGACACATTTTATCATACATTCAAGTAACGAAGAATTAAAAATGTTTTACATAACACGTTTTTATTTATTTATTTTTTTAATTTTATTTCAGCACTGTCCTTCCAGTTTTTAACAATGCTTTGGACAGTTCAAAAGACAATTTAAGTTGTTTTAGTGATCGCTTTTATTGCTTTGTTAGCTTGTGGGACAAATATTGTGACTTTCTGAAGTTCTAGCAATCTTCAACAACTTGAAATCTCCTGAAATAATCACGGACTGATGAGCCACTTTTTTGCATTAGCTAGTTAAATAACTTTTTGTGGCCAGGCAGTGAATGTTTCTTAACTACAGATGGTACATTTTCAGTTACTGAGAGAGTAAATTGTGTTCTTCAGATTTCAACACAGTACTTTATAAATTAACATTTTTAAGTCAAAGTTTTGTCTTCTTTTCCAACACAGGATGGTGGTGGAACTCCACAGGAAAGTCTCCAACCTCATCGAGTACCTGAAACAGAAGTGGGCTTACCAAGACCAACGAATTGTATCCTTTGTCATGATTTGCACTTGAGTTTAAAACACTTTACTTTGGGGTTCCAGCTGCCAATCCCTAACACTAATGTTTGATTTGATTAGTTTTTCTAAATGCATGGTATGTAAAGTAGAGCTGTTATGGTGCGTTTGTGATGTATAAAAGGACAATATACTGTTTGTTTTCTTTAACAGTGATGCTACAGCTTATGAGTATCATGGAGAGGGAGGCTGTTGAGGCCAGTCAGTCCAGCACAGCCTCTCCCAGCAAAAAACAAGAGGAGCTCTTTCTGTTCCCAGCTGAAAACATCACATTGACTACACTGCCTGGTGTGGCACGGGTGGTTCATTCCAAGGCCTCCTGCACTGTACACTGGCTAGAGAGTGGCAAGAACCGACCCAATGCCAAGGACCTTCCAGCAGCCCAGATTTTAGGGGGACCCCTAAAATCAGTGCCACCTCCCCGAGGTAGCAGCAAGTCTGGCCGAGGAAGCTCTGCTGTAGCTACTACCTCAGCGTCTGTACTGACTGATTCTCGTCGGACTGAGCCCTCTAATTCAGAACCATCACCCGACAGTTCTGGAAAGCTAGAAGAAAAGAGGCCGCAGTCTCTTTCTGTGGCCTCTCAGCAAACTGCAGCTCCTAGCGAAGAGGGAAATGCCTTGGGCTTTTCAGAGTCTGGCAAGACGTTCACTGATGTGGAGGCCAGTGGTGGGTTAGAGGTGAATAGAAGTGCAGAGAAGTTGTGCAGTGGTGCAGATAGTTCATCAGAGCAGTGCAAAGAGGAGCAGAACAACGAGACCTCATCCCCAGAATCTACCCAGACCCCTTCAGCTAAACCTTCAGTTATGAGCTCAGAGGAGAGCTCGGCACCGCCAGCAAAAGAACGGACTGTGGAGCATATCAGAGAGGAGGGGTGGAGTGCCCGTGATGGGGAGAACGTCACCCTGGCTGAGCTCTACCTGATGTTTGGGAAACCAGGCAAGCTGCAGCTGGAGTATGAGTGGCAGCCTGCTGTAGTTCCTACCAGCAACCTTGAAGCTGTGGTTGTACAGCCCAAGCCCAACAGGACAAACAGGGTTTTGCGCTGCCTGCTCAAGCTGATTTCCACTGAGGTCAATCCTAAACCTCTGGTAAGTAATCACTTTTCCATCTATCTGTTGTTAGTTTCCAGATGTGTTTTGGTTTTAAATTTTCTATCAAGATTTTTGGAGTACTGTACTGTTGTTTCAGGTCTGAACCCATCATCCCAATCCTTCACTGCAAATTGATTTTCAAAAACTAAGAATAAAGAAGCATTCGATTAGCAGCAGAAACTGGATGTGATTGTTTGCCAACATTAATATCTGTTTTTTTCACATAGTCAATGTATTTTTCAAAATGTCATCACGCCGTTGATACATCTAACAGGAGGCTCTAAAGGCTTCATAAACTACAGAGTTGTAATGTGTTTTTCTTTACACATACAAATAAAAAAGAGTTGACACTCAGCAGTAAACAACGTGTTTATGTGTTTTTGTCCACAGGCTGCTGAGGTGTGCTCCACAGCCACGTCACCACTGAAGAGCCATCAGGAGGAGCAGAACCAGATCCTCACTCCTCCAGGGAAGGGTCCTATCGCAGGAGTTCGCAGCCCCAGCTGTGGTCGGCAACAAGCTCCTGTTCGAGTGACCAGAATTCACACATCCAACTCTGCAGCCTCTGGTATTTTTTTTTTTTGCAGTCTTGCGCATATTTTCAAGCTGCTGCAGGTACTAAAGTGTGGTGTCACTAACATGGCACATGTTCCTCCTCTCCTCAGGCGGACGTAACCTCCCTCGTTCTCTGCTAGGGTCGACCGCGAGCGGCGACTCAGAAGGCAGCCTGTTTGCAGTACCCACCACACTACCCCCCAACAGCTCCCGACACAACAGAATGTTCTCCCCGAACAAGGAGGCCCAGCTCGCCTTCAGACAGCAGCTGGACTCCATCAGTGTAGGAAAAGGTTTCGATACTGTTTAGACTAAGTCAATATTAAACACGGTGTTCAAATCTTTTTTTTTTTTAATATTCTTTTTTAGATGCAGTCAGATCTTTTCCTCTCCAGACAGAGAAAACCTCGAAACAGACAACTTCGAAAGCCCCTCGTAGTTCAGGTAAGAACCAAGGAAGGTGATACTGGAGGCACCGTCTCGGTTGATTTGCACAGATGTGTAAAACGATGCCTGCAGTGGTGTGCTAAAATATTTATCTGCCTTCGCTCTGTGTTCATTCACAGCGAACACTGCTGCCTAGGACTGCAGGAGACACTCCTCAACATGTCTGCTCCTTCTCCATCCTCTCCAACTCCTCCGCTACAGGTACTAAAGGACTAATCCCACAGTAAAGTATGTTGTCATCAAAACGCTACATTACAGTTCTTCAAAACTGGTACTTAATTTTCTTGTATTTGTGGTTATGTCAGCGGTACCACTTTACAATAAGGTTCCCCTTATAGATGGCTAATAAATAGTTTATAGGTACATTATTAATTCCTCTATAAACACTTTATAAATCATTAACAATTATTTATTATACATTAATTAAGAGTGACAGAGACAAAACTGACCCGCTTCTTGCCAAATAGTGAGCCAAATCTGTTCATCTATATATTTCATCTAGAGTTGTTATATTAAATATTTCAGACTAAGTTTTCATTCATTCAACCTTTATTTATACAGATAAATCACATTGAGCCTCGAAGACTCATTTACATGTGAGACCTGTTTAGACAGACAAAAGTCATGAAAGTGATAACATTTGGATTTGGAGGCAAAAAAAATCCTAACAGACTCTCATGTTACCTTGTGAGCACAATAAGCATTTGTAAACCTAATTTTTTAGGATATAATATTAGTTGTAGATACTTATAATGCAGAGATAAAATACAATATTTTATGCTAAAGAAGTAGGTTTACAAATGCTTATTTTGTTTACAATGTAGTAACTTTGCCTGAAATGTTTAATATAACAACTCTAGATGAAATATATAGATGAACAGATTTGGCTCAATATTTGGCAAGAAACTGCTCAGTTTTGTCTCCGTCACCTTTAATTAATGCATAATAAACAAGCATTAATGATTTATAAAGTGTTTATAGAGGAATTAATAACATATCTATAAACTATTAGTCATCTGTAAAGGGAGCCTTATTGTAAAGTGTTGGCAAAGCAATATGCTGGTGAAACTATGTATCTGAAATGTGATTTCCTCTTTCTCAAACATGGCTTTAATTGCTTTTTCGCTCACTTCCTGTTTCCTCTCTCAGGAACTGGATCTTTCCGGCCAATCCAGACTCGCCTGACTCCATGCTCCCGCCCTCCCACAGCCAAAACCTCACCTCCAGCATCCAGCTCTGCACTACCCAGCCAGCTCTCCAGTACGGCTGCGTTCATTCATTAATATCATTTGATTAAAACACAGCAACGTGTTGGTGGGAGCTCGTACAGTTTAAATGCAATATTAGTCTAATCCCTTCATTTATTCCAGCAGCTAGTGCATACAAGCAGTAGCAGCCTTAATCAGACTAGTTCCTTCTTGCTTTCAAGAAAAGTAGGAGACCCAGTAAACAGAAAACATCTATTTATTAAGATTTATCATTCCTTAACTCCTTATAACCATCTAGTTCACTGATTTTAGTCAGTCTTTTCCCTCATGAACTCATCAGACAACAGTAAAATAGTATTTTTCTATAAGACAATAATCCATGAATAAATGTTAAGTTTTTTTCTTTTTATATGCAATGCACAAGATTGCTTTAAAACACACATTTAATGATTTAGGTAAAGAAAGAAAAAAGAAGGAACATTCACTCCAACATTAATTTCATTTCATTCCCAGTGGAGCCGGCTTTCATTTTCAGAATAATATTGTTTGTGAGTTTAATTGCTAAACTGGGTCAGATGTAGTGATTTCCCTCTTGACGTACTATTTTCAGTTACTAGTAATACACTTGACTCATCTGAAAGTGGAGATGTGACAATCCTTGTGTGTTTCTGACTTGTTAATAATACTCTTTCAGGTGCCATTGACCTGGCAGCCAAGTCTGCAGGCATCATCCCCGGCAGCCCCTGTCGGGAGTTAGATTCTCCTAGCGGCGCTCTGCTCGCAGCAACACCCATTGTTGATGCTGAACCAGACTCCCAGCTGCTCCAGCAAACTGTCCCAGAGGTCAGCAGAGCACACACACACACACACACACACCTAGGCACAACTTACAGCGTTGCTTCATTCTCGTCACCCTTATTAGTTGAACATTTTGAGACCTGATGCAACATTTGTGTGCAATATTTCTAAAAATAGAAACGGCTGCATTTAATTTTTCTTAGCCACTGTTGTGCTTAAGCAAAATTACTTCTCATTATTAACTAAACAAAATAGTAATATTATTCTGCGAGAGAAAAAAACAGATTGTAAAAAGAAGCTTTGGAATCCACCAGAAACATGGTTTATTAAATTATCTTAGTGTTTTAAACGAGCTTGCTTAAAATGCTCTGAATTTCGTTTCCACAGAACGGTCTACCTCCACCGTCTCCCGGAGCGACTGGCGGCGGAGACTCGCTCCTCTCTCCACCCAGTGTCGCCTCGCTGCTCGACATCTCTCTGCCGGGCCCGCCTGAAGAGGCTCTCGCTCCTGGAGAACCTCAAACGCACATCAGCGACTCCCTAATTGAGCTTGCCATCAACTCGACACACTATGGTAAGCATCTTTTTCAGTCATTTATGCTGCTTTCCAGCTGAAATTGAAACAGGGTTTTCAGACTACACATTAAGAAATTTCAGCTCTTCCTTACCACTTGCTGGATGATCTGCTTTATCCTTGCTATACCAAATGTTTAATAAAACTAAACCTGGCCTTCTCCTCTAATGACAGTACAGGAAGTTTTTTTTTTTTTTTCGCTCAGATTTGTTCAAGTATGACTAAATACATTTTTTAATTTTGTATTTGTGAAATAGATTTTATATTTAAGTAACTCCCATTTCCTGATTATAATAATATAAACAAATAAAATGAGTATAAGTCAGCTCCTTCAGTCTGAGGCCCTGCAACAAACTCAGTCTTATAAAATATCACCTTATCATAGTGGATCATGTATGTGTGAATAGCTAGTTCTGGTTGTCAGCAGCAAACTGGTTGATCCACCATTTTATCCATGGATAAAAAGACGAAATGTTTCAACAAAGAAGAATCTGTCCAGAGGACCTGACTCAATGTTCGATTTTTCTACCTGGATTATTGAGCATGCATCAGGACATCTATTCAGAGTAGTATTTCTTTATGAAAATAAAGTAAGCTCTGTAACAGGCAAGTTTGTTTTTGTCTTGGGAGAAGTAATTTAAGTATTAGTTTATTTTTAGAAGAAACTTGTTGATTTGGACAACCAGACACATTTTAAATTGTTTTAAAAATCTCAAACTCATTTGCCTGTTTTGATGCAGGTGAGGAGGCTGCTCTCTCTCCAGCCAAACTGGGAAATGGTGACCCGTCCAAACTGCTGGCCTCGTCTCCCTCCGTCAGCCCATCCAGAGGGTGGATCCCCTCACCGAGCCACGACCCCCAGTGGTACCCCAGTGACTCCTCCGACTCCACCCTGGGATGCCTTCTCTGTAAGAAAGAAGTAACTTTTTGTTGTTGTTGTTCTATCTGCTCATGATTTTCATTACTTTTTCAAAACGCTGTCAGAAAATATATTTTTGACCTAAAAGTACATAAGATATCCTTCCCATCTCACACTTCACTGCTTTTTCTTCCAGATGTTATCATATAAATTGTTGAAACTCCTCTTGAGTATTTTATCTTCCCATTTTATTGTTGGAAATGTAGGGTTCTGTTAAAGTCACATCAAAACAACACGCACTGTAATTGAATCATTTTAAAAGAGAATGTTATTTATAGTTTATCTAAACAAAACTGTGCTTTCAGATATTTATACTGCTGTTGATGCCCAATCGCAGAAACTCTTTAACATGACGACACAGAAAGGCAGCCATGTTTCCGGTTCTATTCCTACTGTTCATCCATCCATCCATCCATTTTCTTTACCCGCTTATTCCATTTTGGGTCACGGGGGTCGCTGGTGCCCATGTCCAGCAATCACTGTGCGAGGGGCGGGGTACACCCTGGACGGGTCGCAAGTCCATCACAGGGACACATAGAGACAAACGAGACAAACAACCATTCACTTTCTCATTCACACCTAGGGACAATTTAGAGTTACCAATCAACCTAACATGCATGTTTTTGGACTGTGGGAGGAAACCGGAGTACCCGGAGAAAACCCACGCATGCACGGAGAGAACATGCAAACTCCACCCAGAAAGGCCCCTGGACCGGGGTTTGAACCAAGGACCTGCTCGCTGAGAGGCAGCAGCTCTACCAGTTGCGCCACCGTGCTGCCTACTGTTCATCCATTTCCTCTTTATTTATTTCTATTTCTTTAATCTTTCCAGCCAGTATGGTCTCTCCTGATAAGGGCAGGCGGACCACCCTAACCCCAACCGGCCCCTCTAGCGGCACAGCTTTGCTTGGTCCAAGCCTCTTGGACTGCAACTCCCACGATTCCTTCCAGTCCCGTGGCCTTCCTGATGTAGCTGAAGTAAGTCGTCTCACTTCCCGTTTGAGCTCCCGTAATTCTTCTCCTCAGGTCTCAGTTTCTCCTAACAGAGGAGGTGACGACACACAGTTAAAAGAACAAAATAGTTTTAAACCTTACCTCTAAAATAAATGATTAAAATTCAGAGTATAACCATATTTTGTTGTGTTTTATACTTCAAAATAAGATTTGAAATTTAAAGTGAGGGGCTGACTTCCTCTTTTAATGTCACAGAAGCAAAAAGCACTTCTCAAAAAGATACACCCATATATTCTCCAAAAGGCCTCTTCTTTTCTTGGTTTATTTTAGGAATTGAGAACATCTTCCATATGGTTTGAGGATTTTCTGTTGCAGGCAGCAGAGCAGAGAGATCAGAAGGCTCAAGTGGAAAAAAATGAGAAAAGGCTCTTGTATTGAGTCGCGTAAAAACATTTGTAATAAAGCTTTTTTTTTATTATTCCTTTTACTTTTTTAATCAGAGTTATGTGAAATTAGAAGCTTAGGCTTGGCAGAAAGACTGCAGCCATGTAATTACAGAAAGTGTTATTTGGCCTTAAAACATTCAAACTATTCCAGAGGTCCATGACAAACACTTGTCATCTCGTTTCGGTTGCAGATGGACTCTCAGCTTGCCTGCATGATGAGCGAGAGCAGCGTGGACTACATTGCTCGCTTCAACGATCTGGCTCAGGAGCTGGCCGTGACCGAGCCCTCCATCCCACCTCCCTGAGGAGGACCCACAGCCATCTGGATGAATGAGGAGGTCGCTCCTCTTTAAGACTTTCATTCTGCTTTGAAAGAAGGACGTCTGTCCAACCTCCCTGAAAGCCATCCTTGTTTGTATAAGTGCAATAATAACGGTGAACCTTAAGCTGTGTTCGCTGGACTCTTCTGTTAAAATTTAAAAACACTTTGGAGAAATTAACGTGTTTAAACACAACCTCTTGTACAAGAATACTATGCCATATCTGAACAAAATATTTTCATCTATTTAGTTTGTCTCATCCTGCTCAGTTTGTTTGAAGTCCACTCCTTTAAATGGACCCAGAAATGTGTGAATCCATCAAAATGTGCAGGTCACACCTCACTTGAAGTGTGATGTTATTTATTTTTTGTACTTTTTCTTTTTTCTTTTCTTTTTTTTACGAATAGCAGTGAAAAAGAGGCTGAATGTGCTGAGGTACTTGTTATAACTGAGCTGCAGAAGTGGAGCACAAAGCAGCTGGCCGAGCAGATAAAATCTAACCTGGTGCTCTTCATCTCTTGTTGGTGTTTTTAATAGTGCTCATTTGGACCCTTGCTAATTTTTTTTTTTTTTTTAAGTTTATACTCTTAAAGTATGAGCTAGTATTTTCCCCTCCTATATTTTTTTTATTTGTTGAAACCTCCATTCTAATTCTGTTTACATTAAAAAGGTTAAAAGAAAATATTTTTATGCAGTTCTGTAGCTGGTTCTGAAACGTACACAAACAACGTCCCCCAAGGATCTACTTTTGGTCCCCTTCTTTTTTTTAAAATGATCTCATCTGTTTTGGTGCAACATTATATATTGATTTCCCGTAACAATAGAGCTAATTTAGCTCCGCTCTTGTGTGCGTTTTGATGTCCTGCTTTTTCTTTTTTTAAAGGTGTTTTCAGACGCATTTTTCTTGGACAGATCGTAGCTGAAAACGTACTGGGTGTTAAAAGAAGTGTTTTATACTTAAAAACGATCAGTCAGAATGTAATTGAATCAAAACACTAAAGCCATAGTTGACTTTTTTTCTTATTTTTTCTTGTAAACTTCAATTTTTAAACAAATACCACAGATTTATTTTTGATCTAATACTGACTTGAAAGAAACACTAGTGTGCATCAGCATAATTGGGCTTTAAATGTGTTCATCACACATCATTATTTTAATAAGGTTACTAATAAATTGAGCCACAGAAATTTTCCTCTTATGCAGTTTGGCACCAGTAATGTCTTCTAGTTAGCTTTTAAATGCAAGTAAACAGCTCATCATTCCACTCATAATTTGAATATTTTTGATTCCTAAATACTTTTGGATCTGTACCTTCACTAAGCTCCTGGGATGTTTATTACTTTATGAAAAGCACCAACGCATCTTCATCTTGTGACAGATTTATTTGTGAAGAATAAACTGCAGGATTTATCTTTTTTTGTTGTTTTTCTGTTGAAGGATTTATTTGTACAAATGCCAATTCCAATATTCACTGCGCTTTTTGTAATATATTGTAAATTAATACTTGGACTATTTATTTTAAGCATTTCTCAAGTTTTTTCTTTAACGTAATATTGAAGTGACAGCTAAAAGGAAAACAACCATTTAAAGTTTTCAATTTTGTAAAAGTGTTTTAAATTCAGTGTATAAAGAGTTTAAAAATGGCTTGTTGTGTATTTTGTGAAAATATTCCACTTTCACAGAAAGTCTTAAGGACACTAGTGGCAGTTTCAGGTTCTCTAGCCTTTTCAAATATGTCACGTCCCTCGTTTCCTGCGGGGGGTCTGAACCCTGAAGTAAACGCACTAAAAGAGCACAGCATGTAATGAACTCTGCTCCCGGCTGCATGCCCACTTCGCCATGACATGCTTTTTTTAGTTCCGCAGAGGCAGAGCTTAAATGGGGGGTTCCGCAGGGGTCCATACTGGGTCCCCTCCTATTCTCTTTATACCTGCTGCCGCTTGGTGCTATTTTCCGGAAACACAACATGCCCTTCCACTTCTATGCCGATGACTGTCAAATTTACTTCCCCCTGAGACACAATGGTACATGCTCTATTCAACCGCTGCTCAACTGCCTGGCTGATTTCAGGGACTGGATGGCTTTAAATTTCTTAAGTTTCAATGAAAAGAAGTCTGAAGTCATGTTGTTCCCTCCCAACGACACGATCACAAACCACTGCATCGACCTTTCCGCTCTAACCCTGTCAGAAAAACAAAGAGTCACTAATCTGGGCGTGATAATGGACCCTTCCCTGAAGCTTAACAATCATGTAAACATGATTGTTAAATCATGCTTCTTCCAACTGAGGCGGCTGTCTAAACTGAAGCCCATATCCAAAAAGAACCTGGAGACAGTAATACATGCATTCATTACATCTAGGCTTGATTACTGCAATTCACTCCTGTTTGGTATCAGTCAGACCTCCATTGCACGACTACAACTGGCCCAGAATGCAGCAGCCCGATTTTTAACCAGTACAGGCAAAAGAGAGCACATTACACCAGTTTTGGCCTCACTGCACTGGTTACTGGTTCACTTTCGAATCCAGTTCAAAATACTCATGTCTACAAATCACTGAACAGTGTCGTGCCCCCCCCATCTCTCTGATTTGCTACAACCGTATGTCCCACCACGCTCCCTGAGGTCAGCGGACCAGTTGCTCCTCACAGTTCCAGGAACTCGTCTTAAGTGCAGAGGTGACAGGGCCTTCTCTGTAGCAGGACCAAGACTCTGGAACGAGTTACCTCTGCTTGTCAGACAGGCCCCCTCCCTCTCGGTTTTCAAGTCCCGTTTAAAAACTCACTACTATTCAATAGCTTTCAACACAAGATGATCTGTGTTTTTATCCTGTATGCTCCACACTGGTTAGTCGTCATTATCTGCATCGTTTTTGTCTATATTCTGATTTACTTCATTTTGTATTTTGCTTTGTGTGTTACCTGTTGTTCTGTCTGTACAGCACTTTGGTTGGCCTTGTTGCTGTTTTAAGTGCTTTATAAATAAAGTGGTATGGTATGCTGCAGGAGGAAGCTTATGCAAGCTGTGGGCTGCACACAGGTGCTAAATAATTCAAAACAACTAATTTGAAATAAAAAGTCCATGCCCATCGTGTGACTCATCCATCAATCAACCATTTGTGTTATGTTCAATCAGTCCACGAACAATGAAGTAGCGAGGGTATTTTAAATTTTATCTCTACGATCACCATAGATTTGTCCACCTGGCAGATCTATAATAGATTCTTTCTTACGTGACTGTCAAAGAACTTTTGGAAAGAAAAAATGTCTGTCAAACTGAAAGACGAATGTTCAGTCTTATCATCTGGATGCTTTTTTGTTGGGAGATGTTTCGTTCTTCAGTCCGAGGAGCCACAAACTCGGTCAAACATTTGCTCAATCTCAGACTGAAGAAGTCTTTTGGATAAAAGATTAAACTTTTCAAAGAATCCATCCAGAGGACCTGACTCAACCTTGTTAGATGTCTGCTGCAATATAAATTTAGGACACTTAAATTTTTATATTGTCAAATATTCAATTCAGTTCAAAAATACTTTATTAATCCCAAAGGGAAATTATTTGTTGTAGTAACTCGTTATCCTCATTTCATTAAGAGATGTTATAGATGCTGATGGCTGTAGGCAGGAAGGATCTCTTGTAAAGGTCCATCCCACAGTGGATCCTAAGAAATTGGCTGCAGATGCCGTCCGATCCGTCCACCCAGACTCGGCTGGCCTCTTGGTTCCTCCAGGCTGTAGGACCGCCCGAATGCTGGGCAGAACTCCTCCCAGAGCGATGGCCACTCCTCCCATCAGTCTGCCGAGCTCCTCATCACTCAACAGTCAGCAAAACAAGTTGCAGGGGCAAACTGTTCCACAGTCTGGGGTCCACTGACTGAAAGGCCATGTCCCCTTTAGTTTTCAGCCGCGTACTGTAGGTACCGAGGGATGATCCTGGTATGATGATGATCCAAAATGGCCAGATTTGTGGGCTTTCCGCTGGGCCGTGCTTAGCCTTCTCCAAGGTCAACCCCAACATACTGGCGAGGTCCAAGTGGCTTATGATTCTCATAAATCGCTTCCATCTTACGGTTGAGCTCATAAATCCGTTGAGTCTGAGAGTTTGAAGCACAAACTAATCCTTCACGTAAGGTCGGCAGCTTTGCCACGACCAAAACTGCTGCCGCCGTCTTAATAGCTGATAACAAAGGTGTCCGACGGTGCCAAAAAGCAGAAACCCTGCTATCATAAATCCAGTGATGTAGAAATCTTTGACATCCTCCTGAGACGACACAAAGCACAGCATTTTCCACTTTCCCCACAGATCCATGACGTACCCAGACGCGTGCGTCTCAGCGGGGCATGAGGGCTCTCCAGCACTCTGTCGCTTGGTTGAAAAAAAAAATTTATCCAAGTCCAGCTGACCAGATCCATGACAGTAATTTATGATTCTGAAGATGTGTAAATAGAAGCTTCGATACACAAGACAGAGCACAAAAAAAACAGGAGGAAGGCAGGAGAGGAAAGAAAAGCCTTGCTCGAGGGCGAGCGAGGAAAACAAAAACTTTAACTCCATCATGTAATAAATTATAGTTATTTAATAATGAGTCATATGATCTTTATTTTATGCTTCAAGTGCGTTTTATGGCTTTGGACAAATTGTATTTTGTAGAAGCAGAAGAAAATGGCTTCCCTGTAAAAGTTGCAGACCCGTGTGTTGGATGTATTTTCACTGTGGAAGTACTGTAACAACTCTGTCCTCCAAGCATCACAGCAACAAAATACACAAAGTCAACAGAAATGTACAGGATCCAGGGGAGTCGTGATATTGCTCATCCACACTGAAAAGCGTACCAAGACAGGAAAACTTAAAAAAGCTGCAGAGATAAGTAGCGCTTCCTTTTTATTGAATGACAACAAAGAAAAATAAATATGTTCAAGAAACATATCAAGTGGAGCCACACTAAGAAAAGTCTGTGTAAAAGGAGAGCACAACGTGAGCAACTTCGGTTAAATATTCTGCCAGCCTGCTCAAATTGGTCTCTTTCCCAGACGAACCACGGTTTGGTGTGATGTTAATAAATTAAATATAAACCAACATTCTTTGTTCATGTTTAAGCATCAGTTTTTGACCAAATGTCTTCCATTAGAAGCTGAACAATAAACAACAAATGCTGTTACAACACACGGCTTTCTGGTCAATGTTTGAGCTCTCCTTTAAACATTTTTGGCCTCCGTGGTTCTGATTTGGTCCAAGTCACTCTTGACACAATCCTCACCTGCTGCTGTGTCACTCGATTTTAGCTTTTCGCTCCTTGCGAGCGCGGGAGGCCATGAGTTTAAAGAAGAGTGTGGGCCACAGTGTGCGGAGGTAAATGGCCACAGAGGGCAGAGGTCCGGCCAAAACGACATCTTTACTTTTCTGACGGACCGCCCTTAAGACCGCATGAGCCACATCTCTGGGGTCCCAACCAGTCGCTGTGGTTTGATCCATAACTGAAGACAATAACAGACAAGAAACATTAGAAATACAGAGAAGACAGAACTTGGAAGAGTTTATTGTGTGAATGTTTATGAAGCATTCACACAATTGTGATCCATTTTTCTTCCACATGATTTTCAGCGTGATTCTTGTCCCGGAGTTTTCAAGCAATTTTAACAAATCATAAATCAAAACGTTCAGCTCTTTCAGGCAAATGCTGCTATGACTACTGGTATTGGTGCAGCTTTAGCTTTTTGAAAGATTTAGCCTTTTCTGACTTTTTTTTCCTCTTAGAAAATGAATTGAGCTCATTTTACATCCTTCAGATCTTTAGATCTGTTTACAACCTTTTACTGCTCCTTTCACATTTTGTTCTGGTTCAGCTTCTTTCAGCTTTCTTGTGCAAATGTAAACCTTTTTCCAGCTACTTTCAACTAATTTCAGCTTTTTTTCCAGCTGTTTTGTGTTCCTTTCAGATTATTTCTGTTAACAACAACATGTTAGTGCTTCTTCTAACTTCTTTTTACTAATTTCAGCTTGTTATACTCCTTTCAGCTTATTTCTGCAAATTTCAGCTTTTTCTACTATTTCAGCTACTATATAGCTGTTTTATGCTAATGTCAACTTTTTCAGCTAATTCCACTTTTTTGCACTCATTTCAATGTGTTTCAGCCTAATTCCACAGAAATGTGCTCTCCACTTCCTTTTGTAACTTCAGCTTCTTTCTGCTTTTTTAGCTACTTTGCAGCTTTTTTTTGTTGCAAATTTAAGCTTTTGTCATATAATTTCCACCATTCTGTGATAATTTCTGCTTCTTTCAGCAAAACATGTTCTTTCTGCTTTCTTCTGCTAATTTAAGCTTGTTCCACCTTTTCAGTTACCCTTTTTAGCATTTTTAGCTAATTTCAGCTGTTTTCAGATAAATTCAAGTTTTTCATGATAATTTCTGCTACTTTCAGCCTAATTAACTTATTTCTGCTAATTTCAGCTTGATATGCTCCTTTCAGCTTTTTCTGCCATTTCAGCTCCTTTGTAGCTGTTTGCGCTAAATTTAGCTTTTTCAGCTAAATTCCACTTTTTTTTTATAACTCATTTCAGCTCTTTCCACTTTTTTCTTGTACTTTAGGGTTTCTTTTCAGCAATTTTGTTTTGCTAATTTCAGCTTTTTACGCTAATTTACTAATTTTTGTGCTCATATATGCTTATTTAAACCTAATTCAGCAAATATGTGTTCATTCTGCTTTCTTCTGATAACTTGAGCTCGTTCTTCCATTTCAGCATGATTTTAGCTCATTTCAACTGTTTTTCAGTAAATTCTTCGGCAGTAAGCATTCACAATGCATTTTCGCGGGAAATGCAATTTCTCTAGTTTTGATCTTGCTGCTGATAATTATCTGAGGTATCAGCAGAAAACATAGCAGCACAGCATCCAAATCAGAAAAGAAAATGCTTTCAAAATGAGTATTTTCATTTAATAAGAAAGCTTGTTAGAAAATACCAACATACAAGAAAAACAGTTTGAACAGAACTTCAGCAAAATGCCTCCATCCTCCACCAACCTTTGAATTCTTCTAGCTCTACGGCCTTTCTTGGACCACTTCATGCACTAACTGAGACACAAACGCTCTTCTTTATTACGCCCAATAGATTTATTTTGCCCGGGGTAACTCCAAACAGATTGAAGAGTTACCCTTCATTGCACCAAGGATCCATCAAAGCTAAATTGTAAATGTCAAAAGTTGCCAAATATCATTTAGTAATAAATAATAAATAATAATAATAAATAAACTGAAGAGTTTATTTAGCAAAGAATTAGCCAGACTAATGAAAGGTGGTAAAGTTGTGGTAAAGTTGAAACAATCTGAAAACTTCATATTTGCCCTGTATATGCACAAAGTGTGTGCTTCCTGTATGTGTCTCACCTCCATACACGGAGCCGTCTCCGGTAACAGCGTTGACAGACAGGTTGGTCTGGATGTACCCTGGGCTGATGACGGTCACTGGGATCCCGAAGCACTCGACCTCTGCTCGCAGGCAGTCAAAGAAGGCCTGGGTGGCGTGCTTAGATGCTGCGTCTGATCACATCAAAAACACTTGTCAAGCTTTACTTACATTTGACCCGGCAAACCAAAAAGAAGCACTCACACGTGTGTCAAGTCAAGACGACTTACAAGCAGATCTGTAGGGAATGGCGATCTTTCCCTGGACGCTGCTAATGACAACGATGTGGCCACTGCGTCTCTGAACCATCAAAGGCAGGAGGGCTGTGAGGGGGAGAAACAAAAACAGTTCACAACGGTATTTTTTATTTAAAGAGTAGGTTCTGCACTTCAGATGTTCATTAAATTATTATTTTTTTGTTATTTTGATAGCTTCCTTTAAAATGTTTTGCTTAGAAATAAAATCCAAGTACAGCTAATAGAGAAAAAGGCACAAGATTGTTTTTATTTTTTTACTTTCAGATGTCTTTTATTTTAAACTTGTAATTGATGTTTGTTTTGGCTTCTGAATGAGATGTCCTGAGAAATGTTAAGCTCATATTTCTGTATGAATACTTCGTAACATTTCAAATTTACATCTTTAATTTTGGCCATGAACTTTGCCCACATTTTAAAATTTTTGAACTCTTGTAAAACAGTCCCCGAATACGATAGTCCACACGTTCTAACCTTGAGTAAGAGCGATGGGCCCAAAGTAATTTGTTTCAAAAACGTCTCGCTGAACTGAAATGTGGGTATCCAGTATGTTGCCACGGTAACTGATTCCAGCGTTATTAATAAGGACGTCTACTTGTCCATAACATTTCAAGATCTCCTCCGCAGCTTTGTCCACCGTGTCAGCTTTAGCCAGGTCGAAGACAACAGTGCTGGGAGTGAAAGTCTGTTGGATTAAAAACAAACAACTTTTATTTGTTTTTTTTCTATAAATTCCAAGTTTATAATCTTAAAACAAACTTATTTCTAGAAAGTTTACTGGCTAAAAGACAGAGTTTAGAAAAACAGTCTCTTTTAGGAAAGATGGGGACGTTATTAAGAGGCCTGTGTAAAAACAAACCTTGATAGCATTATTTTTGAAGTGAGGAGTTACAACCTTAAATGTCAGAATTCTGTATAAAAATTGCTTTTGACACTGTCCTGAGGTCAGAGCACCCCAGATTTTTGAATGCATCCTAACTGTGTGCATATTTACGTGCCTGCAGCTGGGTCTCTGTTGAACCTGCTGTAAGTTCCTGGACCACCTGTTGCAGGCGGGCTGCATCTCTTCCACACAGGACAAGCCGAGCACCTGCAGCATGGAAGACTCGTGCACACTCTACAACCCAAAACAACATAATAATATTACATGTCTGTGCACTGGATTAGTACCAACCAATCATGTGAAAAGAAGAAATATGTTTTAAGATTCATGCATGCAATCATTCAGCCTAAAAGATGATATAAAACAAAAAAAATAAAACAAGGCTACATTTTAAAACGGTATAAGATACTAAAAACAGGAACATGTCTGCGTTGGTTTTTGCATTGAACATAACAGTTGTTTAAAATCCATTAGAGGTCAAAGTCAACAACTTCAGATCTTTTTGCAAGGTGTTCCAGGTTACAGGAGAGGAGTAAGGGAACGCTCTATTGCCAAATTCGGTCCGCACTGAGGGGATTGCTGCAATTAATGAAATAAATTGCTCAGAGACACCACAACATGTGGGAATGGTTGGGAGTCGAACTAACTTTCTGGTCCTCAGTCAGCTGCCCTACCTCGACCCCATGCATCAGGAATGATCTGACCTACATTATTTATGTAGATTGTGAAGAGGGTGGGACCAAATAGTGAGCCTTGTGGTACACCATTGTTAAAAGTTAAATAGCTGGAAGAAGTACCATTATGTTGAACACATTGCCTTCAATCTGGGAGATAGAGAATCAACCAGTAGTGTGATCTGAGAAACCAGTATGAGAGCTTATGACATAAGATGTCAGTCTACAGTATCAAAAGCTTTAGACAGGTCTAAGTAAAGTGCAGCACAGTAATCCTTAGCATCCAATGCTATGACAACATCATTAAAAACCTTCATTGAAGCAGTCATTGTGCTGTGTCGTTTCCTAAAACCAGATTGATGGGAAGATAAGATGTTAAAAAAAAATCCAAATACTTCTTGACTTTCATGGTTTTCTAAAACCTTAGCTAGAAAACAGAGTTTAGAGACTGGCTGGTAGTTGTTCAGTGTGGGGTCTCCTCCCTTCAGTAAAGGTTGAACAAAAGCTGCTTTCCAGGCGTTAGGAACAATATTATGGCTTATGGACAGATTAAAGATGTGAGACACCGGTTCCGCTATAATTTGTGCAGCTAGCCTTAAGACGTAAGGAGGACGGTCGTCAGGGCCAGCACATTTTCTCAGGTCCAGACCTTTTAACAGTTTATTAACCTCACTAACAGAGAACGGTGAAAACGAGAAGGTTTTTACTGAGGATTGACTTGTAGAAGAAGTTTGATTTTTGGAAGTTTGGTTTAAAGGAGAAGTAGTTTGTTTTCCATTAGTAACTGTGGTGAACAAGGAGCTAGAGGTAACAAAATGTTTGTAAAAAAAAATTTAGAATCTCATGTTTATTTGACATGAGAACAGAGTTAACAAGTAATTGTGGTGGTAGGTCAGATGAACTGGAGCCCCCGGAAAGCGATTTCATAGTTTTACAGAATCTTTTGGGGTCATTTAGACCTTTGGAGGTCTGAGATAGGAAGTAGTTTTGTTTTGTGGCTTTTGAGCTCCTTGAGGGCTCATTTAAACGTTACTAGAACAGTTTTCTTCCACCTGCGTAATATCGCTAAAATTAGAAACATCTAAAAATGATGCAGTAAAACTGGTCCATGCATTTGTCACGTCAAGACTGAACTATTGCAATGGTTTATTATCTGGGTGTCCAAATACGTATTTAATACGTCTTCAGTTGATCCAAAATGCTGCTGCCAGAGTCTTAACTGGAGTTAGTGGGAGAGATCATATCTCTCCAGTTGTAGCTTCTCTCCATTGGCTCCCAGTCAAAAAAAGAAAAGCTTTGCAGAGAGTGGTGAAGGCTGCACAGAAGACTGTCGGAGTCAGCCTTCCCACCATCACAGACATCTACAGCTCTAGATGCAGGAAGAGGGCTACCTGCATCATGAAGGACCTCACTCACCCAGCACACACACTTTTTGCCCCACTCCCCTCAGGAAGAAGGTTGAGGAACATTAAGTGTAGAACCACTAGACTGAGGAACAGCTTCTACCCTGAGGCTGTTAGACTCATGAATCTCTAACCAGAATAATCACTGTGAAAAATCACATCATGTTGCTGCTGATCTGTTTCATGTTGCTGCTGATCTGTTTCATGTTGCTGCTGATCTGTTTCATGTTGATGTGTTCATGCGTGCACATCCGCCCACACAGACTCACGTTCATGTTTGTGCTGATGTTCAATGTTTTTATGTTATGAGTGCTTAGTGTATATTTAGTTGATGTTTTTCTTAGTTCATATCTTAGATCTTATTACTGTTTTTCTTATACATTTTATTGTTGGATGTTACTGGGACCTTGTGTACATAATTTCGCTCCACCACATGTACCACATGAGGTGCGAATGACAATAAAGAATCTCTGAATCTGTCAAATTCAGAACTGAATTCAAAATCCTACTTCTAACCTACAAAGCTCTCAACAACCTAGCTCCATCTTATATTTGAGATCTTATTGTTCCATATTTTCCTAACAGAGCACTTCGCTCTCAGACTGCAGGCTTACTCGTGATTCCTAGAGTTTCCAAAAGCCGAATGGGAGGAAGATCTTTCAGTTATCAGGCTCCTCTCTTGTGGAACCAACTTCCAGTTTCAACTTCACAGATTCTGGGTTGACACATTGTCCAGTTTTAAGACTGGGCTTGACTTTCCTTTTTGATAAATCCTATAGTTAGGGTTGGTTTGTTATGCCTTAAGCTTAGACTACTGGAGAACAAACTGATCTCATTTCTTATAATGAATTGTTAAAATTGAATAGTTTTCATTTGATACCATTTCTATCCTAACATGTGATTATTGACCTGCCACTGTGTATCTGTTCCTCCTTCCTATTCCTCTCAAACCCAGCTGGTCTAAGCAGATGGCCGCTTGTCCTGAGCCTGGTTCTGCTAAAGGGTTCTTCCTCATGAGGGAATTTTTCTTTTCCACTGTCGCCTTCATGTTTGCTCAAGATGAGAGTTCTGTGATGGAGTTAAATTCAAAGCAGTCTGCTCAGATAGTGTTAACTTATTACTTTTATATATGAACATTTCTGTTCAGTGCCCTGAGATGAATTCTGCTGTGACTTGGAGCTATATAAATAAACTGAATTGAATTTACAAGAGAGACTTGTTTAAATCAGGTTTCTCTTGTCAATGAGTCTTTGAGGCTCAATGAAACTAACCTGTACAAATAAAGGTTGAATGAATGAATGATGGAAGCTGTCCAATGATTCTGCAGCAACCAGTCAGTGTCTGAACCGACTGTAGCCCAAAGTCGATCTCCCCTGTGTACGAGATCAGCTAACTCAGGAGTAAACCAGGGGCTCTCATCCTTTTATTCTGAAATGGCGAAAAGGGGCGTTTTATTTACAAAGTAGATGAAACTATTGTGAAAATAGTTCCAAGCAAGGTTCACGTCATCAGTTAGTAAGATACGATGCCAGTCACAATGGAACAGGTCCCAAAAGAAGACCCAAATGTTTCCTTTTTGAATTAACCTGGACTTTGAGAGAAGCAATTCAATAAAAATAAAATAAAGTGCTATGTGTTGTCATCATTGTATGTTCCCATACAATGGAGAAATTGGTTCTCTGCATTTAACCCATCACACCTGGGATACACCCAGGTGGAGAGGTGGGCAGCTACTGTATGCAGGTGCCCAGGGAGCAATTAGGGATTGGGTGCCATGCTCAGAGACACCATGACATGTGGGAATGGCTGGGGATCGAATCTGGGACTTTCGGGTCCCAGGTCGGCTGCCCTACCTCTACCCCATCTCAGCCCATTAGTATCCCTAATGGCACCGACAATAACAACATCAACAACTTACATCATCTGCAAAAACACCCAAACCAGAAAATGTACAAGGCATATTTGTTATAACGAGGTCTAAAATAGACGCTCTTCCTGGGCATTTAGTGTTTAGGCAGGTGGGGGTGTCAATGATTTGACCGAGAATGAACGACAACATTTCTTAAATTCCTCAGACACAGGAGACAGCCAGTCTAGGGGCCTGAGGAGAAAGAGTTAACGATCACCAACAAAGACAATCTCATTGAAAGGAAATCTGTTAAAGACAATAGGGTCTAAAGTTGCTGGGGTGGGGGGGAAGAGATAACGTCCCACAAGAGTTAAAGGTTGGACACCGTGCAAATTAATGTTTATAACCAAAATTTCAAATTGATAGGGATTGATTTAGCAGACACCAGATGAAAACCCAGGCTGGATTTAAAAATTGCAACACCAGTCATTCTTTGACAATCAGAACGATATATATTAAATCTGTCAATAGACACAAGATGAAGTGACGTGTGATGAAAAGTGCAGTAGGCTGACCTTTCCCAAGTCCAGAGCTGGCCCCTGTGATGACCACAACTGTACCTCGGACAGAAGGTCCCTGTCTGAGGCGGAGGAGTATCCGGTACAACAGCACGACTCCCACACCTGTTAGAATGAAGGGAAGCATTCCTCCTCCAGTAACACGCTCCATCACGGCTGTTCCACCTGGCTGCACACAAAACCAAGTTAAAATAATAACAACATAATAATAAGTTTTATCTGTACAAAAAAAAACAATTCTATATTTAAGTTTTGGCTTACACACACTGGTTTTGCACTGTTGCTACTGTTAAAGAACATATATACACGGCTAATGACGCTAATGCTAACGTTAGCTGTCATCAGACGTGCACACAATAAGAAATGGCAACTCATAAAAGTTTTACTTTCCATAAAGTTAAAGAAGAAAATGTCTGACCCAAGTTGTTGTCCAACGGTGTAATGAAACAGCGTGCGTGTCGATGAAAAAAAAAGAGTAGTTCCTGTTTGGCTGAACGGACTTTTCGCTACATCCGGTGCAGTCCCCGCAAAGAGTTGTGGGAACTGAAGTTCACAGCTGAAAGTCATCTTAACTGTCTGCAAGCTCAACCGACAAAATTATCTGTTTATCTGCACTCGAAGCAGAGCTGCTTGCTCATCTAAGGTGGTCAAAAAGCATATACATTTTAAAATATATTTCCAGAGCCAAATTACCTCAATGAAAAATACGGTAAGGTCACACATTTAAACATGGCTAACATCCATGATTAAAGTATTGCTTTACAACCTACCTTATTTGATAAACTGCCAGTGAACTGACCAGTAACATAAATTTAATGTCCGTTTTAAAACTACATAATTTAGATTTTGCAAAAACAAGCATTTGTTTTTTATTTGATTCTGGCAGCAGCACCAACAGACCTTGCTCATCTGGCAAATGCACCTATTCTAAATGTTTTTATTGATTTTATTTTATTTTTTTATTTTTTTGAGTACAGCAAAGGCAACATGAAGTCAGTTCAAAGGTCACTTTTTGCCCACTGGCTGTATTTTGGCCACAGCATAATATCAAATGTCTTAAGTCTGAAGAACAAATTAATCCATCTGTTTTATGTCTGGGACATACCTGTGACACCAGGCACCACTTCCCAAACTTGGTTCGTGGACAAGAACATTTATGGAAAAAATAAACACTTGTTTTAAAAAAAAAAAAAAAACACTTGTTTTGGCAGCAGGTTAACTAAGGAACAATTAGAACTCCCTGCTAGTCACAAATTAAACTCGCTGTATTGGTTCACCCTCATAACTCTATCTGATACATAAAGAATAACAGGGGTGATGTAGTTGTACTTATGAACACTTGCAAGATTTTTATTTAAATCAAGGGGGGGAGCAAGTGCTGTGAAACACGGCATGCCTGTGGTTTTCCACATCCAGCAGCCAGTACTCGAAGCTGAGCTCACAGTAGGTTTTTGTGAAGAAAATAGAACTACGGTAGTTTGAAAATGAACTTTTACCATCAAGTCTTGAGTCTGAGGGCTTTTTATACACACACTGTACATTTATTAGAAAACGGTGCGTTTCACTTACCACAGCAGAAAAAAAAGTGTCCGACTATAAATGTAAAATTAACAGCGTCAATAGTTGAACATTTACAACTGTTCTGTTTTTTTTTTTTTTACCCCTTTGAAGCGTTACAGATGTTTTGGTTTATGTCAGAAATTTTCTGTCAAATAATTTTTGAAGCAGAGCTTTCCTGTGATCTAACCTAAAACTGTTTAACCTGAACATCAACAATCCTCAACCTGCCCATAAAGGACAATGTAATGATTTTTTAAACTGGCGTCTACAGAACAGTCAGGCAGTTTATATCTGGATTACAGTTTATTACCCAGTTGTCGTAAGTCTCCTGTTATATTACAACTCATCCTTCTTTTCCTGTTTACATCGTTTTCCTCGTCCCATTAGGAGCACTGCTACCTCAGAGAGGAACACCGTTGCAGAAACAAATTATATAGATAACGGATGTGCATTATCTGCAGCATTAAAAAGTCTCTACCTTAGCTTTGTCTTGACGTTAATGTAATGTACACCATGAGAACACGGAGCCATGTCACCATCTTACATGGTCTTAATAGGATTCATTGATACCAGAATGTGTACTTAAACAAGACAACTGTTTTGGATCTATTCACTCCTTCCCAGACATCATGAAAAATAAAAGTAAAATACAGAAAGTTTGAAATATCCTAATATTTAATGAAACATGACGTACTGATCAGCAAAAAAGGGGTACAGTAAAACTATGAGGGAAAGAGCAAGATACACAAAACATGTCTACTTCAAAATGTTTCAGTCCAGGAGGAACTGCTGCCATGATCCTTTTGCACTAGCTTTTCTGTGAAGACAAGGGCAAGGGAGCTGGCGCAAAAGTACTATGGAGATAGATGTGCTGTTGTTACAGAAGTAAAGGAAATGTATAGGGGGAGAAATCCCTTCTAGTTTTAACTATATCCCTCTGATCAAAGTTCAAAGTGGAAGCGGCCACCACAAGTGGAGCTAACCACTGGGTCTGATTGTGACTTCCACTTTCTTACATCAGGGGTGGTATGTTCAGTTTTGCTTTTTTTTTTTTTCTTCTTTTTTTTTTGATGGTTCTTAAATTTCTTTTTAGAGTGCACTCATACATAGAGTTCATAGATCTTCTTGGCGCAATACACCAGGGCAGCCAGTGCTATCGTATTATGGAGTCTCTTTCTGTGGACGTCATCCCTGCGCACCAAAACCACAGGTGTGGAGGAGGTCAGTGTGTGCAGGGGCAGCCGTGACAGTTTCTGGCTGTCATATTCCACCTGGTACTTGCAGCAGGGGTCAAACTGCCACGAAATCCCGTAGAGTGCGGCGCAGGCCACACTGAGGGCGCCGGCGGGCAGCACTACGTAGCGGGAGTATTCAGCGGGCAGTGATAGAGGTGTCAGGAGGCATGCAGCGCCTGACAACACAGCCGTCTTGTGCAGGCAGTTCCCCACCGTGATCCAGCGGGCCGTCTCATCTCCGATCCGCGTGGGCTCAATGACAATGTATTTGTACTGGGCCTCCAGTGCCTGCTCCAGCTCATACTCAAACTGGTCCTGTGCGTTCTCTCCATTGTAGATCTCATGCACAATGTAGCAATCTGATGCTGCCATCACTCCCCTGTGCAGAAACAGAGGAACAAGTTAGGGTAAGAAAGGTTAATTAAAATACGACCACATGTTTTGTATGTCTTTAACCTAATTAGTTCATTCTTACTCTGTCTTTAAGCTATCATCCTCATTACATGATCTCTTGACTCAAAAATGTTACTAGATTGTTATATTTATTACTGTCCATAACGTGTAAATTTATTGGGCCTGTTGCCTATTTTGTATGTTGTTACATCATCTAGTTTTATTATTCAATTTTATTCAGTTCTGCTTACCTTTTTATAAAAGGAACAAGTCCAATATAGAAAAGGTAATTCAAAATAAATTTAAAATGTTCACTCTTATCAGGAAAAAAATGGGAGTAGAAACAAGTATGACATCACTCTCTCCCCCAAACTGATAAGAATGGAGGACAACAGCTGGTATTGCACCAGCACTTCTTTATATTTAGTTTTATTTTGACTTTGGCAACAATTTCACTCATTTAACAGTCCAGCACATGGTGGTTTTTAAAATAATGTTTTTTGTTGTGATTACAACACTTAGTTTTCACTGAGATACACATTAAAAAAAGGACTCCTAAACTCAAGGAATGAATGAATATTGTGTGTTTTAATGGACAACAAACAATTATAATTATAAACCAGATCTTTAGACGCTTCGTTACAACCAGCCTGTCACACAGAAACTGTTTGCTCTCATTTATTTAAGTGAATGCCAAATATAACGCAGTTGCAGAAAACATCATCAAGGTGATTCATAAGAAGCGGTGGGCTTAAAACCTGACATGTACTTGATCAAGACCATTTAAATAAAACTTTACATGGTCTGGCTGCTTGGAAGCAACACAAAGAAACTAGGGGCGTTTAAAAAGTTCTCCCACAGTATTTTATAAACCAAGATAATCAAGAACTCATTGCAAGTCTTGCTAATTTATCGACTGTTTTTTGAGGATCCTCGCTTTACTTTAGACACTTTGTTCGTTAAAACAATATCTGATTGGATCTGTGTTGAGACCCCGCGGTCCTCTAATGTCTGCTAAATAAACACCAAGGACCCACATAACCCGTTCTTCTTAAAGATAGCGACCTTGTGGCTAAAGATAATTTGAGGGCACTTTTGGATACTTGAGACTATTTCTACAGTGTGTTTTAGCCGGGGACACGCAGCGTGCATTAGCTCGGCAGCTTTCAAGGACTAAAGTTGGAAGACTGATCCAGCCGACTTTACTTTCAGAGCAGCTCTAACAGCGGACACTCGTAGATGAAAGACTGATTGGTGCAGCAAAATAAAACTTGACATCAAAATAGTCTTCATAACGACGCGTGGCGTAGAGCTGCTTTTCCCAATTACATGACTAGTGTGATACTTAAAACAGCATTTGAGCAGTTTAATTGCCTGCTACGACGGCAGCTATTAGCCTGCTAACGTTAGCTAATCAGGGGGGTAAAATTACGATTTTTTTACATTGGCATTAGAATTTAAATCCTAAATGAGGTGCATGGTCGGGAACAGTGTATACCAGCGACCAAAACTTTGTATCTTACGAAAATATTTTCGCTTTAAGGCCAAAATGTGGAGTAACTGACCTCTCCCTGCTAACTGGGACACCGCGCCTCCTTCCCAGCGACGCCATGTTGGAAAAACAACAGTTGACGTACAACGGCGCTAGGGATCCTGGGTATTGTTGTGTGTGAATACAGTCGATGCTCATATGAGACGGCTTCAGTGTACTACAATTCCCATGGTACTATGCAAACAGAGTACCTGCGGTATGTATTTTGTAACAGCATAGAAGTTTAAGAGGTCAGATGAGGTTTTTAAAAATTATTTTAATATAGACCTAGCAAAAAATATTAAATGTATATTTGATTCAATGAAGACAATTAAATTTACTTCGAACAAACAAATGAACTAAAAACATATGGGTAATAAATACTACCACGTGACTTTAATCATTGTTTACAAGATACTGTTTTAACCAAAATGTAATTATCCGCTGCTGCCTTGTTTTACAAAGCAGTTGGATTTTCAGGGTGTTCTGAATACTCACCCATAATGTGCCCTCGCGTGCTGTCAGTCAGTGCGCTGGTTGTGCGCGTGCTGCGAGCCTTGGATGAGAATGGTTTCGTTTGACTCAGCTGTTTCGTTCAGGAATGTACGTAGATCCGTTGAAATATGCTGCGGGCGATAATGTAACTGCGCCACGAGGACGTCACGGAATCTCTGCGGTTGATAATCTCACTCGATTAAAAGACCAACAGATTAAAAAAATGCATATTTTATACTGTAGACGAGCAAACAACTGTATTTTATTATATATATATATATATATATTGAGTAAATTGCATATGTAGAATAATTTTTTTAATAAATGTTGCCCAATGAATGATGAATTAGAATCAGTTAACCTGTCATTTCATATAATGCCACTAGATGGCGACAAAGACGGCCCTGCACAGGTCGACCTTTAAATCTCCTCGGATATGTTGAGCATAGGTTTTAATATCAGGATTTCTATGTAATACAAAGAATATACTGCATGTTTTGGGCAGATACTTTCTACACAAGTCCAAATTGAAACCAATCATAACCTTGAGAGAAAAATAAAGTTTCTTCAAGTTTGTGGGAAAGGTTTTCTATAGAATTGAAAAAAAATCTTGAGGCAGTCCTTTTTTCCTTTGAACGTTGACACTTTCAGGGCATTTACCGACCAGTTATAGAATAGTATTTTCATGTTAATCCCAGTACGGTACCAATGACCTATAAATTCAAGAACAAAAATGCCCTTCAGCTCTGGGAATGAATCACTTCTGTGTCTACAAATCATATGTGGGCATTTAGTTATGTTTTGCCACATATTCACAGCATAAATAATGTGGTAAGTAGCTTTATTTCTGTAGAACAAGTACAGGAAACAAATAATCAAGTATAAAACTGTAACAAGAACATTGACATTTTTTCCAGACAGAGCAACCTGCTCAAAAACATTAATCTGACATTTTCTTTCAACAAAACAAGCAAATATAAGCATAAAAAAACCTACACAACAAAGATATAATGCCTTGACCTCTGTCGCCCAGAGAAGTTTTAAAAAGGGACTTTTTTATTGCAGTTCTCAATACGAGTGTGCCAGAGTTGTGCCCTGAGGTATTTTTCTGTTCAACACTTGAGATTGTCCACAGCTATTTAATTTCCTGTAAAATGCTTGTGTGGTTAACTTTACTATCTTAACATTAGATGGTTAAACAAGGACACTGTAAAAGCAAAAATGTTCACAGACAAAAAAAAATGAAAATTTAACAAAGCTCACTTGCCCTAATTATAAGAGCGCTGTTGCTGGTTTGAACCAAGTTATTTATTTAAATCAACACTGAAGTAATAAATTGCACAGATATCAGTCCCCCAGTGTGTCTAACATGTACACAGTCAGGTTAGATGTTCTCAGGTTTACAGATCTAGCACCTTAAATTGACTAATGAATCTATTCAGGACACCCCCCCCCCCAACCAAAAAAAACAACAACATGTTTTTAATTACAGGGAAAGGAAACGGCTTTACATTTTAACCAAATCAAGTTTTAGGTAAGCAAAACTTTTTTAAAATACGCGTTTTAAAACCTGGAAAAAGTAAAACGGTTAAAGTGATTTTAGGATGCGTTTCTCAGATACCATCGTTCACATGAGATCTCCGCTCTAAGAAACATTTCTATTTTAAAGAGGAAGAGGGTGACACCTAAAACTAGTAAAAAATGATAAGTATAAAATAAGGGGCTGTAATACAAAAGTCAATGCCATCTGAGTGCAAGTGGAACCACCAAGACACCAAGTCAGTCATGTCCAAGCTCACAATCCGTGAGGACCATCGGCAAACTGCAGGATCTGAGCTCGACTCTCGTTTGCATTTGCTTCCAGTCACTGATGAGAACCGCCCCGGGCCTTTCAGGCATCACATTTTGGTTCTTTTGATACCATTTCACACACTTCCTGCACGCAGTCCACTCATGTTTATGGATTTAAATGACGACCCGACGTTCAGCTCACACACAGTTCGGTGCGATCATCTGGATTCACTCGACGTTGCATTCAACAGTGCTCGGAAGGTTGCCATCACTCAGCATTTCCCTTTTGACAGTCTCGTTTAAGTTGCCATGTAGGGTCATTGATAGATGTGTTCAAAGTACTGAGGCTGTGGATTCTCTTTGACGTATTTCTGAATGTACCAGCAGGTCAAGTGAGCTTTCAGGTCCTCCTCCACCACAAAATCCATGGCTGCCTGACAGCACAAAGAGCACAAATCCAAGTCTTACACTCAAACTCTTGAGGTCGAAGTCATTATTTTTATATCGAATCTTAAATCGTATGTTTACCCGACAACAAACAAGAGTAACGCACACGGCACATTATAACAAACTAGTACACACAAATCTGTAGAAATGGCCTGAAGAAGCAATGACCTTGTACAACATTTGACCTTGAAGCTGGGGTGATGAAAAGTGTATGCAACACTCCAACTAGAGATGATGCATGTGTATGAAGTTTCTTAAATTATCATGGGCAGATCATAAATTATGGACGGGAGAAAGTTTATGTACACCCGGAGACTAAAATAATATGTCCACATTTAAACCGGCGTAAAAAAAAACAACAACAAAGGAACACCAGCTATACAATATATTCTAAAGTGTGATACAGAAACCCAATTATTACCAAACCGTTAAACTTAATCAAAAATATCTGTATAATTAATTACATTTTAAATACCTTTGCCAGGTGTTTGGCAATCCCTCTCCCTCTATAAGCATCAGGAACTTCTGTGTGCTGCAAGTCCACCGTCTTCTTCCCGACGTATTCATAGAGAAGAACGGCTCGATCGTGAGATCCTGAGAACAGACAGAAAGTGTAACTCCTGTTGGCGTCAAGATGATCTCAAAACGACTTTGTTTAGAACATCAAGATTAGAAACTGAAAAAATAAAAAGCAAATCTTATATTCATGTTAACCTGCTTCTGATTTATTTGCTTCCATGGAGCCAGACTTCCTTCTAACCTTGTATGCCATTTGATGTTGTCTTTGCTGTTTTTCCAGTTTTAACAAAATAAAAAGGGAACAAATTGTGTTTCCATGACAGACTGATGTTAATGAAGAGCCTAAAGATTCAATTTAATACAAATTCTTTAAGTTATCACAACAACGTTCCACTCCTTGAGGTTAGGAACCTTTTATGTAACTGAATGATTTACAGGCTAGATTTAAGTGGCTTAGCAAACTAAAAATGAGAAAACTAAGAAATATGGACCAAGATCACTCAAAAATACTACAGATCTCTGGATACATGAAGGCAACATGTAAAGAAATAGAGGACGACTCAAAACTTTTGCACAGTCCTGTACAAAGATGAGTTGTACAAAATGAGAGGCTGATAAAATCTAATTATTCATACAAATGAATAATAATTACAACTAACATAGATGTGCATCAAAGGGAGGAAGAACTACATAAATCTGAGCAATTGACATTCATGAAATCAACACTCATTTGAGTAATAGTTATTTTTAAACTTGAACAATTATAAATCTTAACACCTTGTGACACAACTCATTCATTTTCTGGTATTTCCTGGTTTTCTGGCTGCAGAACCTCAGACGAGAAGAGGAAAACGTGTGGAGGAGCAACAGCTTTGTAAAATAAATAACATACAAACACAAGTAAACAAATAAATAAATAAATAAATAGCTGTGTCTGAGAGAACATTCCTGTCAAGACTCGGTTCTTTTTTGTCCTCCTGTGTGAACTGAACCACGCAGCTGTGCCGAAATGGCAGCTGGAGTCCTTCATCAGGCTAACAACAATGTTAGCAGTGAAGACAGCTAAAGCTAACCCGCGCGCGCACACCGATAAAGCCCTTACCGTTGAGCCTGATAACGAACTGCCGACGCTTCTTATCGTGTTCCACCTGGATCTGAGAGCTGCTCGGGTCAAAGACGTTGTTAGCTTGTGCCATAGCAGAGGTGTTTGTTGACGGCGAGTGCTGCAGCTAACCAGAAATGGCTACACGAGACTGCGATGAACCACAGTCAGAGCAAAACATCCAACTGAATCAGCTGTGAGGTCACGTGACGTTCAGCCAATCAGCTTCAAGGATGGCAGCGAGGCGGAAGTGATGCTAATGATAGTAAATACATTAGGTTTATTTACAAAAATCTGATGAATAAACACCCAAAGCAATATTTTTTCACCAGTATTTTTATTTAATTTAAATATATACCCACTGAGCAAGGAGACGTCTAAATGACGTCTTTTTTAAATCGTTTTTGCACGTCTAATTTGGGTCCCTCCCAGGTGCAGACTGTTACGACAGACGACGTCTTTTTCCGACGTCCAATGGACGGTCAATCTAGACGTATTTTCTACATCAAAATTTAACTTATTTTATTCACTTCAGATAATAATATATGTATGCTCCCATGCAGTGTTTAACACATTCACCCTCAGATGGGTGTTGGAATGACTAAAGTTCGATTCCAGGACCTTTGGGTTTAAAGTCGGCTGCTCTGCCGCTGCACATCTCTGTGCAGTAAACAAAACTAAAGAAACAGTATATTTGACCATCTATTGTGCAACAGGAAACCACACTACAGATACTAGGTTTACAATTAAATCATCACTCCTTAAATGTCACTAGAAACAGATGGACTAAGTTTTACAAATAAATCACTCCTTAATTTTTTTTTTCTTTATCCTCTTTACTGGATTAACAGAAATAGCTTCGAGAGAAAATAGCAACAGTTGGTTTATGAATGAAGCCGTGCAAATTTATAATCATAAAAGAGTAACTGCCCACTAAACATTAGACGTCTAGTGGACGTCCAGATTACTCTATAACTCGTCCGTTGTGGTCCCCCCGACGTGCAAACAGGTCCACTTTTGGACGTCTAACCATGACCGCATTTGTACGTCAATATAACGTCAGACTTGGAGGTCATTTAGACATCATTTTTTTAACATGCATTTCCTCTATTCTTGTTTTTTTTTTTTTTTACAAATTTTAGTAGTTACCTTATTATTTATTTGAAGAATATTGTTATTATTGTTATTATTATTCAATTTTATTCCACGTTGAATTACGCATCACCTTCCCCCAACAGCTTTCCAAAGTGGAAAAAAAAAAGTTTTGTTGGGTTTGATGGTAAAAAAGAAACTGTCCAGATGCCCTGAATTCAGACCAAAGCATTTCAATTGAATGATTAAATATGAAAAAAGCATGGTATGTCTCCTTTTAAGATATCTTTAATTATATTTTGACATGGCAAAATACTTATTTGGGATATACTCAACTACATTCTGACTAATATAAATATATCTGTGAACATGTCACTCCAGAGGTTTAGTTGTGTTTATAAACCTTTTTTTTTTTTTTTCTATGTGGTGTCTTTTGAATCTGGACTTGGAATAAGGAGTTAAACTACCTCAGTAAGGTATGTTTTTTTTGGCCCCATTCTCCTCCCCTTTGCATTGGATATGTAAAATAAACAAAAACTAGATTAACTGTACCTTGTAATTGTGGTGAAGGGACTGTAATTTTATATAGCTTTTATTTCTCGGGTTGCTAGTTCAGCTATCCGAAAATGAAAATGAGGACATGTTAATTTTTATTTTTTTTATGTTAAGTACAGACCAAAGCTATGTGAGCTGTGCATTTTTATAGATTTGTGTGTGTACATTGTGTTTTGCCACCAGTTGATAAGCTCCCTGTTAATTCTAAAGTTTTTTTTTTTTTTATAAGGTACTGAAGGTGGACTTTTTTTTTTTTTGCCACCAGTGTTACGCTACTGTTCTGTTAATCCTTTAAATTGTGTTAAATAAAGAAGATAAATGAAAAATGTAAGGAGTGATTTGTAAACTCTAATCCAACTGTTTCTAGGACCATGTTTCCTGCTGCACAATGGGTGGTCAAATGAACTATTTCCCCAGCTTCAGTCGCAGTTTTAAAGTACTTTTCATATGCATAGCGTAGAAGCAGCATTTTTTAAGTGACTAAAATAAGTTAAATATAATAAGAGCCTATTTAAAATAATATAGTTAGTTGACGTGGAAAAGACGTCTATATTAACATGTCGGATAGACGTCGAAACTAGACGTCTTTTAGACGTCGGAAAAAGACCTTCTGACGTCACAGTCTGCACCTCCGAGGGACCGTGCAGAAACGACTTAAAAAAGACGTTGTTTAGACGTCTCCTTGCTCAGTGGGTGTGAGTAACTGTGCACAGTTACTATTTTATGATTATAAATTATGATTGTAAATGTTATGGTTATAAAAATTATGATTCACTAAGGCACACTTGCACCTGTCTTGGATGTCTATACGACCTCCAAGTCCGACGTTCAAACATTCGACTTTATATCGACGTACAAGTGACGTCATGGTAAGACGTCCAGAGTGGACCTTGTTTGCACGTCGGGGAGACGTCCAGAATTGGTCTAGACCGACGGACTCAATATAAACGTGATCTGCACATCCATTCGACGTCTAATGTTTAGTGGGTACTTGTGAACTACTTTGCAAAAGTCTTGAGTCACCCAGTGGGAATGTTTTTAATTAACCTTGGTCAATAATACATTTCCAGATTTCCTAAAGTTCTTTTATTTTTTTTATATTTTGCTGTTTTATCTTTTAGTCCAGCACCTGACCATATTTGAAGGAATTTTCATTATGAAGCCCCAAGTCCCTGCTCAGTATTCTGCATGCTTTAGATGTTTCTCTGCTCCATCACATCAGATTTATAGCAGCGGGTGATTACCAGGCTTCTGCAGAACATGAAGAGGTAATTCAACCATTGAATCAGGTGTGTTGGAGCAGGGAATCAATGAAAACATACAGGAGTACGGCCCTCAAGGACCAGGATTGGACAGCCCTGTTTTCGGCACTGGTTAGTTGCTACTTAAGCGAACATTGCACAATATGTTGTCACGATCAGGTCGAGGACTGCACAGAAAAAAATAACTGAAAATTAAAAGAAAATCTTTTGAAAACACTCCAGAAAGCCCAAGCAAATATTGATCAAGACCACAAATATATATATATATTATATATATATATATATAAAAAAAAGGCAATTATGTAAACAAAATACAAAGAAATTAGAGGCGGTTTAAAACTTTCTCACTTAAACTTGTTCTGTAGATCCTGGAAGTGTTTCTTTCCTTTTAGACGAAACCGTCACTGGAAATACGAGTGGAAGTGAGAAATTAGAAAATGAGGAGTCGCTTCGTATAAATGTGCTCTATAAATAAAGTTGAATTGACTTCGTGCAGCACAATATTTAACAAAAGAAATACAGATGTTGTGCCTAAAAATGAAGCGGTTAGAGTTTAAAATATTACTTGTTAGTTGAAATGTGTGCACAGCCAAAATAACTCTCTTATTAGCTCTCATTATCGTGCTATATTTGACTATGCTATAACTTTTTTTTGTAATTAGGACAACAAATATGGTTTATTTAGCAGGCAAACAATGGGAAATAACAGACTAATGCTGTCTTTTGGACATTTGGGTCAGAGGTCACAGATTCACCGCTGTAAATCCTCAACAGTTTACTGTAAACACTTTTCAGCTTACATGTTTCACTCAACATTTGTTTCTGCTGGTGAAATGTGAAAATAAAGGTTTGATGTTAGGGTGAAAGAGAGAGCCCAAACATGTAAGGTTGTTCTGTCAGGTTAACTAAAATCACAGTGCGTTAATCCTGTTGAGCTGTCGGACTAATCCAACGGAACTCTAATGGAGTCTGTCAGATCTGATTACATGTGGGCGAGTCTGTGCGTTTCTTTGAGACTCAATGTGCAAAACGTGTTTACTGGGTCACATCAGACCGACTGGCTCTTTTTACATCAGGTACTATTTACAAGTTGTTTCTCTCTTTCTTTTTACAAGGCTTTTTTAATTTTAAAACTAAAAAATGATGTCCAAAGCACCCAGGTAAGTCAACATTAATTTCACAACTTAATTTAAAACCAATTTGTTTGACTTAATAAAAGCGAAGCCATTATTATTATTATTATTTGTAGAATAAAATCTCATTTAGAGTAATGATTTATTCCATTTAGCATGACGTGTTTGAGTCAAGAAATAACACGTTTTAACTTGAACCTATTCTATAGTTGGAGGCTGCTTTTTACCAATAAGTTAACTGCACTAGATATAAACATGCGCGCTTTGTGGTGTGAATATTTTGGAAGTTTCACCTTGGCCAGCAAGGAAAAATACAATATTTCTGGCATAAAATGGTAATTGAAACAAGAATCCCATGCTTGTGTTTTAAAACTGGAGGCTTGCAGCATCATTTATGTGCTGTTTTATCTACTGCAGGTGGCATGAGACCCTGGTAAACACAAAGACCACCAAAGTTTTACAAAAACACGGAGAAAAGGTAAGTACTAACATTCAAATCCCATGAAAAATGGAGCTTAAAAATAAATGGTGTCTAAAAAAACTGTCAGTTTATCTGATAGTTTACACAGGCTGTCATTCAGTAAGCGTGAATCTATTTACTATATGTCTGATTTCTTATATTAAGTAAATATTAACCTCTCAGTGATTTCCTAATTGGGATTAATAGTTCTGCTTGATCCATTTAATGTCTTGTTACTGTTTAAATAGTTTCATTCAGCATTAAAGCATATAGGTGTGTGAGTGAATTAACTGCAGTGTCAGTGTTGTTTTAATATGAACACATTAGTCTCTGATGATTCATGTCTGAAAGATCAACTGAGTGCAGTTACAATCTGCTCAAGTTGCCACGTCAGGACTCCTCGGGCATCCTTCGATTGATTTTTCTGTCGTGTGGTGGGACCGCAGATTCATCGCCTCTGCAGTTGTTGGGGTTGCATCTTCTGGATCTGGAATAGACTGCCTCGATCTGAGGGTTCCCAAATGCTCAAGTGTAATTAGGTTTAATGTGTGTGTGTGTGTGTGTGTGGGGGGGGGGGGGGGGGCACAGTGTCAGTCAGATGGTACTTAAGCAAATTAAGCAAATTAAGAGCTCTTGTCTGGATTAAAAGTCTGTCTCCAGGGATTTTATTGGATTGTATGTGTCAAAGGATGAGTGGAGCATGAGGCGTGGTGCTTGACATCAAAATCCCCCAAACTAAAGATGCAGAATTTAATCTGTTTGTTGCACACTTTCTGAAACTAAGCTTTGGCTTGCTCGCACCTCTTCCTCTCTCAAAGAATTCTGCAGCAGGTAGTGGAGGAAAACAGGCGACCAAAACCAGTATCCACTGTGGGAAAAGCCTCAGAGGAGGAGACTCAGCAGCAGTTGGGAGTAAGGGTCCTGCTGGTGGTGGAGTCAGCGTCGGTCATCGCGGTGGCCAACAAGCTGCCACAAAAACATCCAACCCAGTGAAACCAGCTGTCCATCTGCGCTCCAGTCAAAGCTTTTCATCCCTCCAGTCTACATCTCTCACTGCGGCTCCGTTCACGAGAAGCAGCCGCTCACTCAGCAGACTTGACCAAAGATCCCCTGGTAATTATCCTCAAGCTTTATTTATGGGTTTAACTGTAAGTTTTATGTGTCATCCAATGTAGATGTGATGCTCTTTTAAAATATTAAGCTTATTTGATCCCAGCTGATGCACCTAAATGAAACAGATTTGATGATGCAGTTTTAGTAGCTAATCTTTCTGAGACGTTTTGATGTGAAGTCCCGTGTTGTTGCTGATTCTACAACAGATCCAGACAATACCACCGCTGCAAGTTCACAAGTAAAAAAAGGACGAGCCGCTGGGAGGAAAATTCTGGATTCTGTCCGGCTGGCGTCCTCCGTGGAGCAAATCAGGTGACTTTTCCACATTTAATCTCCTTTTTTTGGGGCATTTTATGTCTAAAATGTATGATGAATGGTGTTTCTTATTATTCTTTTGCCAATACTTTTGAGCAGCTCCACAAGGTCTCGGGTTTGCTCCTCTGGGGTGTCCACCACTACACGTCATCATCATGACAACAAAGAAAAGAAGCAGGTACTGCAACACAACCGGAGCGTTCTCTTTTTACTCTGGCAAATAAAAGCATTTCTGAGAAAAACAATTACAGAAATAAGCTCATATTCTATTATGAGTCTATATATATATATATATAAAAAACTACTAAAATAATTTAAAAAAGTATAAATCCTTTGCCAATTTTTCTTTTTTATTATTAACTCACTTATGCTTATGGATTGTCAGTAAACACTCTCTGGACATAAACACAAGATAAAAACATTAAAAGTGTTTGTTGGCAGAATATCGGTGGTCTGGTTGAGTTTTCTTGACTTTGATACTTTTCTTAACATCAGAATGTTTTGGTTGTTTTTTTTTAGATTCACGTGGACCTGAGATCAATTATACTCTGAGCATCTGTGAGGATCTCTGTTTGCAGCTTTTTAGTCAGCTCTGTCTGTTAGCAAAATATCTTCTGAGTCACTCAGATTTCAATGAAATTGTTAGAAAGTGAATCAACTGGTTAAAGTTTGGAGTCAACCCAATTTAAGATGGCTGCCGCAGAAAAGAAACAAATAAATGTCTATAACTGAGTGAATTTGACTACTAAATAAAATTTTTATGATAGTAGCTGAGTTTGATCCCTTCCATGTACCAGGTAACTTTAGCATTCTAACAAATCCCACGGGATATCTTAATTTTTCTGAATAAGTTGTTAAAACTCTGACATTAAACATGGCGGGTGATATGCATTCCTTCAAGGAATTTAAATTTATTTTGACTAAGGGTACATTTCTTTCATCAGGCAGTTTTAAACGGTTTATTTAGGATGTTTAAAAGGTTTTTGTAACATAAAACTGTCCCACACTGTTCGTTGTTTTTCCTTGCACAGAGCAAGGATGGGGTCTACACGCTCTGTGCAATGACCTCCGGGATGAGACGCAACTGGGTTCAAGCAGTTCTGAAAAACGTGCGTCCCGGTCTTCCACAAGAACTCACCAGGTGGACTTTATTTCACTTCCTATAACTGTTATTGAACATGTAGATGGACCAATAGTTTTAATTAGATTTGTCGTAGTGAGAAGATATGACATACATTCAAAAGAACTCTTTGTAAATAATTTAATGGATTTTAATTCAATTCAATTCAGCTTATTTATATAACGCCAAATCACAACAGAAGTTATCTCAGGGCACTGAACAGAAACATTCATATATAAAAATAATCACATCATTTATCTGAGGAGCAGACTGTTTTGAGTTTACCTCCATCACAGACTCTCGTTTTGAGCGAGCATGAAGGCGACAGTGGAAAGGAAAAACTCCTTCACGAGGAAGAAACTTTTAGCAGAACCAGGCTCAGGACAAGCGGTCATCTGCTTCAACTGGGTTTGAGAGGAACAGATACACAATGGCAGGTCAAGAATCACATGTTAAGATTGAAATAGTATCAAATGAAAACTATTCAATTTTAACAATTAATTTAAGGAAATGAGGTCAATTTGTCCTCAAGTAAGCATATGGCAGCATAACAAGCCAACCCTAACTATAGGATTTATCATAAAGGAAAGTCTTAATCCCAGTCTTAAAACTGGACAATGTGTCAGCCTCACAGACAGAAACTGGAAGTTGGTTCCATAAGAGAGGAGCCTGATAACTGAAAGATCTTCCTCCCATTCTGCTTTTGGAAACTCTAGGAACCGCGAGTAAGCCTGCAGTTTGAGAGCGAAGTGCTCTGTTAGGAAAATATGAAACAATAAGATCTCAAATATAAGATGGAGCTAGGTTGTTGAGAGCTTTGTAGGTGAGAATTTTAGGTGACTTTTTAGTAAATATGTGTTGTTGTTCTTCACAGCTCTGTTTCAGAGCAGAAAGAAGAGCAGCAGGAAGAAAACAGAACCACGGAGCAGAGAGATGAGCTTCAGCCCATAGGAGCTCAGAGCTCAGCTGATGCAGACTCTTCATCCTCTGTTCGCACTGCTTCACCCTCCTCTTCACCGGCTCCTTCACCATCCAGTCCTCTGCAGGTGGTGGAGGAGAGCCAACGGGCTCAGCTGCAGATTTTAGACAAAAACACTAAAACTGGTCAGTCAAACATCAAACTAATACAATATTTAGAAAACAAACAGTCAAAATGACAGATTTATGCAGGTTGGCACTTGGGAAAAAACATATTTTTTTAAATAGCCCTTGTTTATTAAAAAATATACAACAAATTTCAACAGAAATGTATAAGTTATATGTATTTGTGCTGTTTTTGATTGTTTTGTTAAGCAGGTGTGACCGGTTCATCTTTATGTGCTGAAGAATTTCAGAGTGGCAGCTTGTCGTCTGCATCAGTCGACGGGGATCGTGAGGAGCATCCCAACGCTGATGAGAGCACAGCTGAGCACAGTGCACAGCGATGTGAAACCATCAAGGAAGAGCAACAGGTTTCAGGAAACCCATCGTGCACAGACGAAGAGGAAAAACCGCATCGAGAGCAGCAAACTGTGCAACTCGTCAAAGAGGTGTGTTTGGAACTGCAGCTCCACAACGATGAAAGCAGAAAACTGCCACACACAAAAATAAAGTGATAAATTCTCCAGAATATGCACAAATAAAACAACCAAACAGCATCTAAACGTTGAGTTAAATATTATTTCTTCAAAAAGCATAAATATGTGATTCAGTTTGGAAACATTTCTCTGCAGCTGCAGCAAACCCAAAGGGAACTGTCTCGGATCCAACAGCTGAACAAGAACCTGCAGGAGGAGCTACGGCAAGAGAGAGAGAGACATTTAGGGAAGCTGCTCTTCACACAGGTAGTTATTTTTAAATTATTCCCATACTTCCTGCACTGAAATAATTAAAATCTCTACAACTTTTCCAAATATCCTGATCAGTAAGGTGTCTTTAGGTATTTGAACAAGCTCTGAACGTACAAATAAAGAACTCAAATAAACAAGAACCCAACTGAAATATTAACCATTCACTTAAATATAAAATAATCTATAATTTAATGTTTTTTTAACGAGTAATATCTTCCTTCTGAATGCCCATGATTCACACAAAGATTACGTCTTACCGCCAAAGGCAAGAGGCAATAATGTTTTTCCTGTGTCTGTGTTTATTTGTCTGTCTGTTAGCAAAATATCTCATTAATCACTTCATAGATGTTTATGAAATGTTCACAAAGTGATCATTAGGGGTGTATTTACAGCTGATTGACTTTTTGTACCTGTGCAATTCAAGATAGTCACCATGGCCTACTGAAATCAGTAAACACAAAAAGGGCTGTAGTTAAGACAACTTAACATATATTGAGGTAAAGTTCAGGGTGGTAGTGGCTGAGCATTGTCCCAAACGCATACCTTAAGCTCTATGCTTAGTGCATTTTTGCTCAAAATTTTTGGCATAAACTGTTAGAGCCAACATCTGTTAGCAAAATATCTCATGAAACAATGGACAGATTTTAGAGAAACTCTCAGAAAGTAACTGGGTGCACATCAAAAGCACATTACCAGTTGGAGTCAACTCACTTCAAAATGGCCACCATAGCTAACTGACCCTAAACCACATATAAATGGTTTTAACCCAGTCAGCTGCAGAGATAGAGCTAAATTTGGTGTGGTAGTAGCTGAGAGTCTTCCTCAACACATACTCTGAGTCTGTGCGCTAACAAATCTTGCATCTCTAACATTGAAAATGGTTTAAAACTCAGACATGAAAGGTGATGGGCGATATGCATTCCTTCAGGAATTGCCAGACCTTCAATTGTTTACGTTCCCTCTGTAAACTGGTTCATAAAATGATAATTGTTAATGTTTATTTAAAAACAAGCCATCTATCTGGCATCTTAAAAGATTTAACTTGGAGGTATGATTGCATCATTTACCTAACTTTTTACAAAACTCATTTTCTGAAGTGGCTTAGACCAGATTTGAAGATTTAAATGATGTTTAAATATATTATAAAAGAAGAGAGTCTGTTAGGACCACTGATAATTTAAGACAGTATCCATGTGTTGCAAAAACTTAGGATTTAAAAAAATATATATATTTTGTTTTAATTTGACTGACTTAATTTTATGTTATGTCAAATTACCTCATCTTGAAAAAAAAAAAAAAAAAACAACAAGTAAACCTTGTTTTTTTGTTTTGTTCTTTAGAATGGCACCACTTCATTTCCAGAGCAAGCATTGACTTTACAGCAAATGCAGAAGATAAATCACAACCTCCGCATGGAGCTGGAAGCGCTGAAGAGAAGCCAGGAGGAGGCCCGAGAGGCTGAACTGCTGCGGAGGGTCGACCTCTTAGCTCAGCAAGCGCAGCTGCTGGTCACAGGCGACGCCACCGTTCTTTCTCAGATCCACCTGGAGCAGGATCTCCAGCAGTTTCAGGAGCACAAGCTAGAGTTGGAGCGCTGCACGTCCTCCTTAAAGTCCCAGCTGGACATTAGTGAGGAGAAGAGAAAAGAAGCCGAGGCCCAGTTGCTACAAATGCAGCAGGAGTTGCAGAGTCATCAAAACCTGCAAGAGGAAGCTGAAGAGCTGCGGAAACATCTCCAGGAGATGTCAGGTCAGCTTCATGCCTATGAGGAGGCCCAGGCTGAGAAAGAGGCTCGCCTGCAGAAGCACCTCATGCTCCTGCAGGCGAGCCAAGAAAGAGAACGAAAGGGTCTGGCTGTCAGCCTGGCTCAGGCTGAGCATCGCTCCAAGGACCTCCAGGACAAACTGGGCCGGGCTGAGCAGCAGCTGGAGACCTTCAACAAGAGTCAGACTCTGAGCAGAGAGATTGAGGACGCCCAGCGGCAGCTGCAGGACGAGCTGGCCTGCACAGTGTCGGCGGTGCAGCAGCTTCAGGAGGAAAGGAAGCTGCTCCACCAGCGCTGTCAAGAGCTGCAGAACCAGTTATCAGAGGCAGACAGGGCGGTCAGCAGGCTTCAGGACCGCTTGAAAACAGAGGAGACGCACTACTACAACCTGGAGCACTCGTACGAGAGAGCGTGCGAGGAACTGCAGGTGGCGCTGGGAAAGGTGCAGCAACGGGAATTTGAAACGCAGGACATACGAGAAGGATATGAAAGGTTGCTGGACAGGAAGGAGCAAGAGCTGAGCGAAGTTTTGCTAAAGATGGAAGTTTTGGGTAACAGTCTGGAGGAGACAGAGGTGAAGCTGAGTGAACTGATGAAAGTTTGCACCTGTTCTTCATCTCGACTGAACGGCGGGCCTTCAGAGCCTGCTGAGCGCAAAAATAAGCAACAACAAACTCCCGAATATTTCACGGTAAACGAAAGTAGAATGAGCAGTTCTGTTTTGTCTAACAGTCCTGAGGTCATGCAGGCAAACTGCAGGGACCCTCACCAACATGCAAGAACCCGCTCTCTCTCAGCGGATGCATCATTCTCGTGCATTACTAACACAGGAGACGACCCCGAAAAGTTTGTTTCTATGATCCAGTTGCTCGAAACAAAGCTGTTTGTAACAGAGGAGAAACTGAAGGACCTAACACACAGACTAGCGGAACACCAGAGTCACATCGGCTGCCAGGATCCCCACCTGTCCTCAGAGCTGACCCAAAGCAGAGCAACCGCGCAGCACCTCAGTCTGCTGCTTCACAGTCAGGCCAAGCAGAGCCAACGCTTCGCCCAGGAGACAGAGAACCGCTGCCGGATGCTGGTGGGCAGGTTTCAGGTGGCTCTGAACATCATTCAGGCCTGCAGAGAAAGGCTTCAAGCTGCTCCGGTGAACATCCCAGACATCGAGAGGCAACTTGCCCGGGCTGTTGGCTGCCTTCAGCAAGGGGAGCAAGACGCAGGGCGAGTCCAGCACGACTCGCGTAACGTCTTTAAAGAAGAGGGCAAGCTCCTCGCTGACGAGAAACTAACTGGAGCCGAAAGCGACTTCATTTCCAAACTCGCCAACGCGCAGCCCTCGCAGGACATGTCGAGCACCGAGAAGCACTTGATCAAGGAACTCTTTGTGGTTGAAAACATGGTGTCCGTCCTTCAGAACCAAAACGGTATCTGCGAATTATCTTCAGCTAAAAACAGAGAAAAGGTCGCGCGCAGCTACAAAAACCTGATCTCTCAGAGAATCCACCTTAAAGCAGAAGAAAGGGCGGCGCCGGTGAGCGTGGGGTGTGACAGCGGTGAGCTTTTAGAGAGCGTGATTGGAAGACTCTGCGCCGAAGCCGAGCTGCTTTACGCTGCGTTGAAACTTCAGCAGCAGTGTGAAGGCGTGGCTCACGTAAACGGCCATGAGGACCATCAAGGAGAAGCTCTTGCGGACATCAGTCCCTCTGAACTGGCCTCTTATGGGGAGCAAGTTAAGGTGGACAGTAGAGGTTCAGATGAAGCTGGAAAACCGGATAAAAAAGGGCCAACTGAGACCAGGAAGCTGGAGGTGGAGAAAGAAAAGGGCTTGTTGGAGAAACTCGTTTCTCGGCTGCAGAGAAGAGCTAAATTCTTACACCACATCTGCCAGGAGCTCACCGAAGACAGTGTGGACCACAGTGGGGATGATGCTCCTGCAGTCGATTTCAGTTTCTTTCAAGAGCAAGTCAAGTTGATTTATCTGTCAGACAGGCTTTATTTAGATTTGGAACAAGAGTTTCAGCCAGCCGAGGCATCGCAGAACAATCTGCACGCTCTTCAGAAGGAGCGCGAGGAGCAGGAGATGTTGAGTCATGCTTTAAATCGGCTTCAGGAGGACAACATCTCGCTGAAAGAAGAGCTGGAACTGGCTGAGCAAAAGATCGTGTCTGTGGAGACTGGGAACCAGCGACTCCTGGAAGACATGCGGAGAATCGAGGATCATCAGAAGGAACAGAGAGAAAAAGTTGAAACGGAGTTTCACGAGAAGATAAAGGAGCTGCAGCAGATCCACGAGGAGGAGATGACACAGCTGCATGGATACTACTCTAAAGCTTGTGCTTCCAAAGAAAGACAGATGAAAGCCTGCAGCGAAGCCCCTCCTCTGGGAGAAGACACATCTTTATCGGGCCTCACTGCAACCGAAAGAAATGCAAAGGAGGAACTCGGGCCCCAGACGGTGGAAGTTGATGCAGCTGCGATGAGAGAGGCGTACCTGAAAGACCTCGAAAAACTTCAGGTAATGCATTTCCTTATTCAGTGCAATATTTATTAATTTATTTATTAACTTTGCAGTATTTTCCTCTTCAAAATATTTGAAAACAGTTAAAAGAAACTGAGGAAAACATCTTTTTTCTGTCTAATTTTGTTCATTTTGTTTCTAAAGTTTGGAAAATGTCCAAAGGAGACAGATTCACATGAAAATTCCTCTTATTCTTTAATGTTTAATTTAATATTTAATAATTTCATTAGATTGTATTGTTTATTTTAACTGTTAAAGATCTATAAAAAGGATAAAAGCTGCAGTCTAAAGCAGTGGACAATAAAAACAGTCAGTGCCATTTTTACAGTAACATCATCTTGAAAATCTAAAACTTCACGCATCAAGACATAAAATAAATATAATTAGATCATAAAATTAGACAAGCGCAACCACACATAAACAATAAGATGTTAACACATGTCATTATTTATTAATAAACAAAAACCCCAGGTTAAGAAGCAGTGTGGAAAAAAATTACAACAAAAAGTAAGACAAACAAACGTACACCAGAACAGCTAGATGAAGCTTACAGCCTGCAGGAGCTCTGGAACTGTGTCAAGTTAAAGTTTCTTTATTGTCATTCGCATCATGCGGTACATGAGGTGGAACAAAATTACTCAAGGTCCCAGTCACACCCCAAAATAGCAAAAATATAAAGTATAAAAATATAAAATGTCCTGAGCAAAGCCAAGATCAAAGGAACATATTTAACCATAAAGCACCACATTTAGCAAACATCAGCTAAGCACAGTGATGATGATGATGTGGGCCTGTTTAGTGCTCTGGTCATTTCTTGATTTTATTTTATTTTTTTACATTTATTTGAGGTTAAATGAATTTAGGTGTATACAGAGTGTCTTTTTTAACTGTAAGTGTTGCTGCACATTTCTAAGCTTGCACTGTGAGCTATAATAGTCTCTAAAACCACTGCACATGTCCATGCTTTAAACTAAAAAATGTTTGTTTTTTTTTAAATAGGCGTCTTGTGATCATGGGTTTGCTGCTATGGAAGAAATGCACAAAAAAGTAATCAAAGACCTGCAACAGCAGCATCAGGAGAAGATGGCTGAACTTCTCAAGGAGAAAGACCAGCTCCTCCAAGAGGAGACAGCCGCTACAATGGCAGGTGACGGCTACATATTTCTATTTTATCTATTTAGTTTGCTGCATATATTTATAGATAAGTTAATTAAACGGAATCCATCATAAAAAGTAATTTAGCTGTTTTTAAAAGCCATTGTAGCAATGAGGAGAGCCCACAAGAAGGAGCTGGAGAAAAGTAAACAGACTCGGCACAACAGGGAAAGCGCCGACATCACCGAACTCCACATGGAATATGAGTGAGTTATCAATGCCTTTTTTAATTTTGACCAGAAATATATTTAACAGTAAGCCTGTCGCGATAAACAATAATGCAATTAATCGCATGATAAATGAAAATTATCAACCTCATTTTTATTTATCGGCTTTATCGTTTCTTCATGTCTCTCTCTTTCTACTGAAGACACTGGATGACAAAAAGCTCTTTACTGACCCCTCCCTTTCTATTTTCTCTTTAAAATCCGTTTTAACCGTCCAAAATCACATTTTTGGATCATTAAAAGCAGCTAAGCTACAAGCTAAGCCAACCTTGGGAAAAAATCTCCGTCTTGTCAAAGCTCCAAAATTCACGGTTGAAACCCGTGCCTTCGTGTAAAAGTTGTTTTTCTCTGCAAAAAGAAGCTGAGAACTTGTATACTGATTTTTTTAAGTAAAAGCTTTGTGTGAAAAATGCTATGCTAAAGAGTTCAAACCACACCGAGCGTCCGCCATTTTGAGAACCGAAGCGGGACAGCCCGTCACGTCAAGGGGCCTCCCTCCCATTTTTCTTAAAGAGACACGCTGCTCGCTCCCTCACTATCCATCCTTTAGTTCAAACAGTTTTATACTGCCATCCGGTGGTCGAAAAAATTACTACAGGCAAAACAAATTAACAAACATTTTTTCTTAAATGTGGCGATAATTACTAATTATTGTCAATTTTCGAACAATATTATCGTTTATTGCAATAATTTCTGAGACAATTAATCGCCCAGTAAAATTTGTTATCGTGACAGGCAAGCATTTCTTGAAGGAGTGCATATCATCTGCCACCTTTTATATTAAGAGTTTTAGACCAAGAATATTTTTAGAGAAAGGTCAGAGTTTTTGGTCAAACCTTGCAAATGTGTGATCTCATGCCCATGTTGAGATCTGTCAGTGTCCTGCGGACGTGTGGTGAATGACTCTCAGCTACTACCACACCAGGCTTAAGCTCAGTATTAATAGATGTGACTGAGTTAGAGCCAATTTTGTGTTTGCTAAGGCAACATATTGAACAGCTTTGACTCCAAAAGCTATTGTAGATGCACATCCAAATTCTGAGAGATTCATTTAAATCTTTACATTGGTTCATGTGATATTTTGCTAACAAGACTTTCTATTACAGTTTCTTCTTTGGTGCTGGAGCAATATATATCTTTTAACAACCACTGTTTTTGCTGCAGTATTTTTTTTTATATAGTTTTTTTTTTGCTGCAGCATTTAATTCACCTGCATCAGACTATAAATTAAATACATTTTGGTTGTTTTAGGAAACAATTGTCCTAACCCTGTTTTTTGAGTATAACATGTCATCCATGTTGAAATACAGCTCCACTGCCTGTCATCTGTGCTGTTGCTTGTAATTTGTCAAGGAAAAGTAGTTCTCCCCAGCCTCTCATTATGCTGTTAGTGACTTTCTGTTTATGGGTCATTATATCTGTTTCTCCTGATACAATTTCCTCCAAAACTCACTTAACTGTCCAACATCATCCGTGCTGCTGCTTCGTCTTTGCAGGAAGGAGATCCAATTATTGCACAAAGAGCTGGAGGTGTTGTCGGCTCAGCACACAAAGAAATGCCTGGAAAACTCTCAGCTGAACCAGGAGCTGCAGAATGAGAGGGAATCAGTGGTGCAGTATCAGAAAGAAAACCAGGTGGGAACTTTTTGCTGAGGTTTCTCAGACGTTTTTTTAATTTATTTTCTTGTAGCCGTCTGTGGTCATAATTGCGTAACGGCCTTTAAAGCATACCTCTCATTTTGATTTTGATATGTTTTCAGAGAGAGACTGATGAGATGTCACAGCTACCAGGACATCAGTCCCATGTTGGCCCTCAGGTCGCAGACTTCTATCAGCTGGAGGTACGGGTCTCTCCAGCATTGATGTGGTGTCATGAACGCACTGCATCTATGTATTAAATTTAATAAGTGCTTTAAAACAATGAAAAACAAACAAATGCCAGTGAATTGAAATGGTTTTAAAACTACCGTACAACAATCACAACAGCTGTTAATTTACTGGTTTCTCAGGTTCAGTTCACAGTTTTTGAGTCACTGTGTTTGACCCAATATAGACGAATTCTAATATAAAACCTGCTGGAGAAAAATACTCTCGCTTTATCTGACTTACTCAATAGGAGCCACACTTGACTACAGCAAAAGTATTTTAACCGGTATTTACTTGAAGGTCAGATGTTCAGGACAAGTTACATAGATATACTGGAAGTGCGCACATGAAGACCAGTCACGAGAATCTGCCTCGAGCTGTGTGAAGCTTGTTCTTATACTCTTATCAGTTCAGCCGAGCTCAGACTCGGAGGCGTCCTTGAAGCGACAGCTGCACGTTGCAGCCTCACTCAGCTCCTCATCCAGCTCTCTCTCTGTTAAACCCAAACATGTGATTCATGGGCAGAGTTAACATTCTCAGTCATACTAGTTAAAAACATCCGTAACCTTTGACCAAAGATTCCCTGAAAAAACTATCAAACTACATTTTTTGCTGCTTAGTGTTTTTGTAATTTGAAGTCAAATGTTCTTTTTATTTAGACTCCATTGTCCAATTATCCCCTAATGTCTCAGAAAAGTTAAATTATCTTTTGCATGAAACATGTCTGTGCATGCTTCTTTATTATTGCCCGCCACCTTGTTAGCAACATCTCACAAAGCAGTCATTTTAATGATTTTACTGAAACCGCTTGAGTAACTTTGAAGTTTGATGCAAGATGGCCGCCTCAGTCGAATAACCTTAGAAAAAAATGTCTAGAACTCGAACAATATTACAGGTACTGAACTACAATTTGAAGTGGCAGTGCCTGAGCGTTACATGCTCAGAGTATATGTGACAAATCACGTGAGAGCTCGTGTTGTTTTCAAGATTTGACCAAAAAGGCTAAGTCTTTATCACTTTTCAAGATGTGTGTGAGAGTTGTTTCAAAAAGCAAATTAATGAAACCGATCTTGATGAATAGGATGACGCCCTTAACTTTATAGTTTGTTGCACAAATGTTTGAGGCAATCACTGCAATCAAGCAACTTCTGTAAGTCTCTGAGACTTCTGCACCTGTCCACAGGTATTCTGGCCCAGGGTCTGGAGGGTTCCTTCTCTAGACTGCATGTTTTAGCTCCTTCCAGATGTTTAATAGGATTTAGATCAGGGCTCAGAAGACCCCTTCAGAACAGTCAAACGTTTTTCCTCAGTCAGTCCGTTTTGTTTTGGGTCATTATCCTGGACTTAGATCAAGCTTTACGAAAACGGGCAGCACATTTGTTTTCCCAGAGCTCCTTGATAGTCTTGAGATTTATTGCCATAAAGTTCCAGTTTTGTCTCATCTGCTCAAAGGGCATTCTCCCAGAAGCTTTGCAGCTTGTTAATATGCATTTTGGCAAACTCCAGTCTCGTGTTTCATTATGTCCTCAGTCGTCTTCTTTGGCTCCATTTTGGCTCAAACAGCGATCGATGGTGTGGTCTGACACTGATCAACCTTGGATTTTACCTCTAAACTCTTTGGAAGTCATTCCGGTGTTTTTGGTTACCCTCCATATCATCCGATTCTTCCATTTGTCATAAACCTTTCTCTTGCGGCCACACCCAGGGAGGTTGTGCCCACAGTTCTGTGGATCTTAAACTTCGTATCAGTCAAACGATTTTAAGTAAACACTCTGGCATGAAAGACACAGAGTAATATTTGTTCCTTTTTGAACTGATAGACCTTTGCAATTAATGAATGTTTCATGTTTTTAAACAGCTGGTTCTGAGAGCAAAGGAAGCAGAGCTGCAATGTCTCAAACAAGAATCTCATTCTCTCAAAGAGGAGTTGGAAATTACCCGAATGGTACAGATACGTGATTTATGTATTTAAATAAATTAAAGCGTTTTAAGCAAAACAGAAGAAAAACGTGCCTCGTTAACTGTCAAAACTAACATATTCGTGTGTTAAAGGACAAAGCATATGCAGAGAATAAACTCAAGGACCTCCAACGAACAAACCAGCACAAAGATGCCTTCCAACATCTGGACAAAGACTCAAAGTTCGCCACCTGGTCTCCGAGCAGAGACACTTCAGGGTGCAGTCTGGGTGAGAAGCGTTATTGTAAAACATCAGTTTTTTTAATCAATCATTGCCATTCCTGCTGCTTGTTTTCATGCACAGCCTGTTATTCATCGTCATGACGGCAGGTTCACGTCCTTTTTCTCTGTTCTTGTGATTTGTCAGAAAATTCTGGGACAACAAACATCCCTCCTTTCCCCAAGAAACGAGAGAAATCCTCCTTTCTGCGTCAGATCAGAGGATTCAGATCTAAGGTGGACATTTAAAGATGTGTCATAAAACATTTCAGGGTCTTTACTGTTATTTTATTTTGTACATTTTATCAAATAAAACACAGACAGTTCTCATGATTTAAAGCCTTGAGAAATGCTGAACAATAAAATTTCACATTTTCAACACTTTAACCTTTTATTAGTGGAGGATACAGACTTTAATTTCTTTTTTCTTACATTTTTGCCTCTTTTGGGGGTCTTTTTATGTCTTTCAGAGTTTAAAAGATGGCCTTTCTATCCAGGAGAAAATGAAGTTGTTTGACTCATTCTGATTTGTGAAAGCTGAAATGCTTCAATGAAACAACGGTCCTGTTTGCTCAGAGATCCCATTTGTATTTTTGTACATAAATGTGTGTCATGGCACAGTGGACAATATGATAAGTTTTACTTTACTTTGTAATGTAGCTGTCAAAACTAAGCATCACCACTGGAGGGAGCAACAAACTGGCTTTTCTTCATGCTGATCCATTTAAAATTAATTTATACTGTCAGGTTAAAACTGTTCAGGATATATAATGTTTACAATGTAATAAAATAAATGTCTTTTTCATTATTCATTAAAAATGGTTTATTGAATCAGTTGTAGACGTTACTGACCACCACACAAAAGCTTCACCGACTGTGCAAGTATGAATCGGTCAAATATCTATCCATCTTTACACTCTTCTTCATTTTCGGGTCACGAGAGTCACAAGGGTCACTGGTGCCCATGTCCAGCCATTACTGAGTGAGAGGCGGGGACACCTTGGACAGGTCCAAGTCCATCACAAGGACACATAGAGACAAACAACCATTCACTCTCTCACTCACGCCTAGGGACAATTTAGAGTTACCAATCTGTCTAACATGCATGTTTTTGGTCTGTGGGAGGAAACTGGAGCACCCGGAGAAAACCCACTTATCAGGTGACCTGCTCTCTGATAAGCGGCAGCTCTACCAACTGCACCTCTGGGTCAAATATGAAACCAACAAACAGAAACAAATTCCCAGATAAGACCAGTAGTGTAGTCTATGTGATACACTGGTATACGGAGTATACCCGTTAGAAAAGCTTGTGAATTAAAGTATACCCACTTAAAAGTGCCCAATAACATGTGACACATAATTGGGCAAGTGTCATTGTCAACACATATAGACTCATTGGTTCAACCTGTTTTTTGTATAATTAATACTTCTGTACTTACTACTTAATACTTGAACATGTTTTGCTACTGTTTTATAAATTCTATAACGTGTTTTAATACAAAACCAACTGTTGTACAACGTTTGTTGTACATTTATTCAAATATAAGCATCAGAGAAATTTTGAAATGTTCAGTCTGCTTAAAAATCGAAATAAACTGACAATTACATTGTACTAACCGATGTACTTTGGTTTCCAAGCACAGTATAACCAGTACAAAAATGTAGACCACACCACTGTATAAGACGACCACATTTTGTAGGTCGGGGCTTTAACGCACCGCAGCAGCAGAAACTCACATTTCATCTCACGCTTTAGTTTAAACAGTCATCAAACGGACGTGCGTCTGAAAATGTCTCCAGCGAGCTGCCGTGAGCTCTCAAAGTGTCCTAAACATTCGGCTGACCTGCTGAAGAACCCGGTACAGTAACATTCATGTGATACATACTGACCCAGATAACCCCTGACATGTCTAAAGCTGTAGTTACCCAGAGGGAAGTGTTATGATACAGTTAGAGAAACAGATTCATGTTTGATTCAGGACTGATTGCTGTGATTATAAATCAGGTGCCGGTTCAGAGGGACGTGTGTTTTCTGCATTTCTTGGAGTCATGTTGCTGCAGAGGAACATTGCACCTCGTTAAAACCCTACACTCATCTTTCGCTCCCCGTGTTGACCCAGAGTCAACCTCATCATGTGAGCTGACCCTCTGATGGTGCAGGACTTATGAAACCCTTCACAGAGACAAATCTGCACACGTCAGCAGACTGGGTTTTAGCGGTCGACAACTGGAGTGACAAAAACACATTTCTTATCATATTCTCTAAGAATTAACTTAAACATTAAAACCCAACGACGTTCCTCAAACTAACTCCAAAACATAAACTTGAACTCAGGGAAAGAAGTTTCATCAGACACCAAGCTGAACTTTGAATGCATGGGAGGAAATTATTTACTTAGAAAGCAGCAATTTGAAAAAAAGAATACTTAACAGCTGTAACTTCAATATAACAATTTCTTTAATCTATACTTGTCAAAGTTAACTGAAAGTCTTGAAACGTTAAACCATTTATGACATAATAAGCAGAAATTATGTATATATATATAAAAAAAGAGAATTATTTAAAAATATGCCTTATGGAAAACTGAATGTTAATAATGAAAAAAGGTTAAATCATGCCATTTGGACCAGTTTAAGTGAGAAACATTTCGTCCCCCATCCAGAGGACTTCCTCAGTCTACAGCCTGCCAACTAGATATGTCCCACAGGTAGCCTGAATGTTTTTTTTTTCAATGTGTCTAAATGTCAGCTTGGACAATATGAATTAAGACTTTATTTGAATTTGCTAAAAAAAAAAAAATCTAAAAATGGTTGTTAAATATCATCAAGTGATTAAAAATGAAAACATGTAGTCATGCCCACAGTGCATCTTTCTGCATCCTTCATGCCTCCATCCATTATCTTAAGCTGCTTCTTCCTTTCCGGGTTGCAGGGGTCACTGGTGTCCATAATCCGTAGTCTGAGTGCTATCATGTTCAGATTAGTTTTAACCTCAGAATAGACAAAGTGACAAAGTCCAACACACAGATAAAAAGTATATTGTTAGAGGAGTGGTATTTACACAGGAGGAGTATTTGAAAGGAAGAGTGACATAAAGTAAAAGGATATGTCGGGAACAAGACCTTCGATGAGAACGTTTATCTTTTTCTTACAGATCTTGAAGTGGAGAACAGCTTGGAGAGGAGGGTGCAGAAAGGCTCTTGCTCTTAATGCGTCCTGAGCTACAACGTGTACCCCCACAAGTTTTATATCAAAACGACCAACACAGCACCGTGATGTGTGTGATTCCATTTATTGGCATTTGGAATAACTATGGCGGTGTAATTTGCAAACAAAGACGCCATTTTTCTCATTGAAAACCACTGACAGGACTCTTAACGGCCTCTAACCGCCACAGTGAGGTCACCTGGAGGGTCAAGGGTCAGAGGTCTCAAACCTCCGTATGTCATCGAACAAACTCTTCCTACCTCCACATCTTTTCAGACACACATACATATTGTATATCAAAACGGAAGCATTTTTGTTGTCTAAATTTTTAAATGGCTGGCACGTGGCAGGCCCCGTCAAAGTTTCTCCAGGAATTTTCTAGTTCAAGTATGTGGTTTGAAGGACAGTGGCAGGACGGAAACCAGGAGAACTTATCCAATGTCAAGGGGTATAGTGGTTCTGGAGGAACAGGAGGTAAGTGGTTCCAGGTAGGGTTCTTCACAAGGAGACTCGAAGGAAGGTGAGTTTTCATAAGGAGTAAAACCCAAACAGGTCTGGAGTGGACTCAAAAAAAATCACACAGGTTAGTAACTCAAGGAAACCCAGTTACTCTTGCAGCAGCAGAGACTGTTCAGTTTGCCAGAGGCTTCAAACTCACCTCCCACAGGAGCTTAAGAACAGTAATCCTCATCAGAGCTGGATTAGGAGCAGGTGGGAGAGACCAGCTCTGCCCTGCCACTCAGAAGCTGGTAGCAACAAACAAGTGCCAAATGGGATTCAATGGTATAAATCACCTTTTTAATGGAACTTGGCATTACCTTTTTCACTTTCTATTTTAAGTTTCTTCCCACACACCAGCTTTTACAATATATTTTTAACATGTGTATCAAGGTGTGTGTATATTCTTGTTTTGTCCCAGTGAAAGCTATATATTCATATACAAAAGTTTTAATTTAACTACTCTGAAAAATAGCAGCAGGGTGGGCTAAAACTGATCTAAGCTTTTATCACCCACTGACAAAAGGCGAGCAATAATGCATTTGCCTCTGTTGTGCAGCTTTTAGCAAAATAACTCAAAACTACTATAGGGATTTTAAAGAAACCTCCATAAAATGATCATTGGATGCACATTTACAGCTGACTAACTTTTGGAGTCAACCCAGTTCAAGATGGTCACCATTTCAGAAAACACAAAAATGGCTAATACCTGTCATGGTTCAGAGCTAGATCAAAGAATGTAAACTGACACGAGGAGCTTGATAATATAAAACTCAAATTTATTATTTTCAAAACTTAAGGCTCACGTGGCAGCTAAAAACTTGGTGGCACAGACCTGGTGCCAACACACATGGCTCAGTGGACGCTGGTTGATAGTCTGAAGGTGAGACTAATAGGGATGGAGAACAGGTGTAGGTGGGCGTGGCAGGACAGAGGAGCAGGAACTGGCTTTGGAAAAGTACAGACTGCGGGAGGAGTGGACTGATAAAAGGAACAGAACAAAAGAATTAAAAACACAGCAATAATAATTACAAAGGAATAAACCTACCAAAAAACACAAAGGATTTCCAAAAACACAGATCCTGACAACACCTCAGTCAGTTTACAGATAACGAGCTAACATTTGGTGGGTGTGGCAGGAGCTGAGAGCCATGCACAATGCATACCTCGAGCGCAACATCTTGCGACGATGCATGAGATTGTGCGTAATTTCAAGGTTGAACAAAAATTGCTCACGGTGCTTTTATTATTATTTTTACAGTAAAACAGATGAAGAAGCTGCTGTTTCAAATGGAGTTAAAATGTCGTATTAAATGTTTATTTATTTATTTGTTGCTCCTCTGAGTCTGTCTCACACTTCCATGACTGCGCCGTTGAGTCCTGTAACTTATTCAAGATGGTTTGGTATAATTATTAACTAGAAAATTCCTGGAGAAACTTTGACGGGGACTGCCTATTTATAATTAAATTATTATAAATAATAAATATGAATATGAATGATTATTAATATTAACAATATATACTAATTATTAATAGTATTAATTATTTATATATAGTTAATGTATAAAATATTAATAATTAATAATCAACATTAATAATATTCACACCACTAATTTTTGTATTAATTTTAAATATTACCTATTAATATTAATAATTATTGATATTAAAAACAGATAATATTAACATTAATAATTTATAAATATTTATAATTAATATTACTAATTAATAATAATAGGTGATAATAGGTGATAATAGGTGCCTTCCATGCATTGCATAATGCACTGCCTTCCTTGCATGTTGAACCAAAATGGCTCCATATGTTACTCAGTTTCTGTGGAGAGTTTTCTCCTATT